GATGAAGATTCACCCCCGGATTAAGGTTCACCCCCGGATGAAGGTTCACCCCCGGATTAAGGTTCACCCCCGGATGAAGATTCACCCCCGGATTAAGGTTCACCCCCGGATAAAGGTTCACCCTCGGATTAAGGTTCACCCCCGAATGAAGATTCACCCCCGAATGAAGGTTCACCCCCTGATTAAGGTTCACCCCCAGATGAAGGTTCACCCCCGGATTAAGGTTCACCCCCGGATTAAGGTTCACCCCCGGATCAGTTCACCCCCCGGATTAAGGTTCACTCCCGGATTAAGGTTCACCCCCGGATGAAGGTTCACCCCCGGATTAACGCTCACTCCTGGATGAAGGTTCACCCCTGGATCAGTTTACCCCCGGATTAAGGTTCACCCCCGGATGAAGGTTCACCCTCGGATTAAGGTTCACCCCCGGATGAAGGTTCACCCCCGGATGAAGGTTCACCCCCGGATGAAGGTTCACGCTCGGATGAAGGTTCACCCCCGGATTAAGGTTCACCCCCGGATGAAGGTTCACCCCCGGATGAAGGTTTACCCCCGGATTAAGGTTCACCCCCGGATGAAGGTTCACCCTCGGATTAAGGTTCACCCCCGGATGAAGGTTCACCCCCGGATGAAGGTTCACGCTCGGATGAAGGTTCACCCCCGGATTAAGGTTCACCCCCGATTAAGGTTCACCCCCGGATCAGTTCACCCCCCGATTAAGGATCACCCCCGGAATAAGGTTCATCCCCGGATGAAGGTTCACCCCCGGATGAAGGTTCACCCCCGGATGCAGGTTCAACCCCGGATGAAGATTCACCCCCCGGATTAAGGTTCACCCCCGGAATAAGGTTCATCCCCGGATGAAGGTTCACCCCCGGATGAAGATTCACCCCCGGATGAAGGTTCAACCCCGGATGAAGATTCACCCCCCGGATTAAGGTTCACCTCCGGATGAAAGTTCACCCCGGATTAAGGTTCACCCCCGGATTAAGGTTCACCCCCGGATGAAGGTTCACCCCTGGATGAAGGTTCACCCCCGGATGAAGGTTCACCCCCGGATGAAGGTTCACCCCCGGATCAGTTCACCCCCGGATTAAGGTTCACCCCCGGATGAAGGTTCACCCCCGGATGAAGGTTCACCCCAGGATGAAGGTTCACCCCCAGATGAAGGTTCACCCCCGGATGAAGGTTCACCCCCGGATTAAGGTTCACCCTCGGATGAAGGTTCACCCCCAGATGAAGGTTCACCCCCAGATGAAGGTTCACCCCCGGATGAAGGTTCAACCCCGGATGAAGATTCACCCCCGGATGAAGGTTCACCCCCAGATGAAGGTTCACCCCCGGATGAAGGTTCACCCCCAGATGAAGGTTCACCCCCGGATGAAGGTTCACCCCCAGATGAAGGTTCACCCCCAGATGAAGGTTCACCCCCGGATGAAGGTTCAACCCGGGATGAAGATTCACCCCCCGGATTAAGGTTCACCTCCGGATTAAGGTTCACCCCCGGATGAAGGTTCACCCCTGGATGAAGGTTCACCCCCGGATGAAGGTTCACCCCCGGATGAAGGTTCACCCCCGGATGAAGGTTCACCCCCGGATCAGTTCACCCCCGGATTAAGGTTCACCCCCGGATGAAGGTTCACCCCCGGATGAAGGTTCACCCCAGGATGAAGGTTCACCCTCGGATGAAGATTCAACCCTGGATGAAGGTTCATCCCCAGATGAAGGTTCACCCCCGGATGAAGGTTCACCCCCGGATGAAGGTTCACTCCCGGATGAAGGTTCACCCCCGGATGAAGGTTCACCCCCGGATGAAGGTTCACCCTCGGATGAAGGTTCACCCCCAGATGAAGGTTCATCCCCGGATGAAGGTTCACCCTCGGATTAAGGTTCACCCCCGAATGAAGATTCACCCCCGAATGAAGGTTCACCCCCTGATTAAGGTTCACCCCCAGATGAAGGTTCACCCCCGGATTAAGGTTCACCCCCGGATTAAGGTTCACCCCCGGATCAGTTCACCCCCCGGATTAAGGTTCACTCCCGGATTAAGGTTCACCCCCGGATGAAGGTTCACCCCCGGATTAACGCTCACTCCTGGATGAAGGTTCACCCCTGGATCAGTTTACCCCCGGATTAAGGTTCACCCCCGGATGAAGGTTCACCCTCGGATTAAGGTTCACCCTCGGATGAAGGTTCACCCCCGGATGAAGGTTCACCCCCGGATGAAGGTTCACGCTCGGATGAAGGTTCACCCCCGGATTAAGGTTCACCCCCGGATGAAGGTTCACCCCCGGATGAAGGTTCACCCCCGGATTAAGGTTCACCCCCGATTAAGGTTCACCCCCGGATCAGTTCACCCCCCGATTAAGGATCACCCCCGGAATAAGGTTCATCCCCGGATGAAGGTTCACCCCCGGATGAAGGTTCACCCCCGGATGAAGGTTCACCCCCGGATGAAGATTCACCCCCGGATGAAGGTTCAACCCCGGATGAAGATTCACCCCCCGGATTAAGGTTCACCTCCGGATGAAAGTTCACCCCGGATTAAGGTTCACCCCCGGATTAAGGTTCACCCCCGGATGAAGGTTCACCCCTGGATGAAGGTTCACCCCCGGATGAAGGTTCACCCCCGGATGAAGGTTCACCCCCGGATCAGTTCACCCCCGGATTAAGGTTCACCCCCGGATGAAGGTTCACCCCCGGATGAAGGTTCACCCCAGGATGAAGGTTCACCCCCAGATGAAGGTTCACCCCCGGATGAAGGTTCACCCCCGGATTAAGGTTCACCCTCGGATGAAGGTTCACCCCCAGATGAAGGTTCACCCCCAGATGAAGGTTCACCCCCGGATGAAGGTTCAACCCCGGATGAAGATTCACCCCCGGATGAAGGTTCACCCCCAGATGAAGGTTCACCCCCGGATGAAGGTTCACCCCCAGATGAAGGTTCACCCCCGGATGAAGGTTCACCCCCAGATGAAGGTTCACCCCCAGATGAAGGTTCACCCCCGGATGAAGGTTCAACCCCGGATGAAGATTCACCCCCCGGATTAAGGTTCACCTCCGGATGAAGGTTCACCCCGGATTAAGGTTCACCCCCGGATTAAGGTTCACCCCCGGATGAAGGTTCACCCCTGGATGAAGGTTCACCCCCGGATGAAGGTTCACCCCCGGATGAAGGTTCACCCCCGGATCAGTTCACCCCCGGATTAAGGTTCACCCCCGGATGAAGGTTCACCCCAGGATGAAGGTTCACCCTCGGATGAAGATTCACCCCCGGATGAAGGTTCATCCCCAGATGAAGGTTCACCCCCGGATGAAGGTTCACCCCAGGATGAAGGTTCACCCCCGGATGAAGGTTCACTCCCGGATGAAGGTTCACCCCCGGATGAAGGTTCACCCCCGGATGAAGGTTCACCCCCGGATGAAGGTTCACCCCCGGATCAGTTCACCCCCGGATGAAGGTTCACCCCCGGATGAAGGTTCACCCCAGGATGAAGGTTCACCCTCGGATAAAGATTCACCCCCGGATGAAGGTTCATCCCCAGATGAAGGTTCACCCCCAGATGAAGGTTCACCCCAGGATGAAGGTTCACCCCCGGATGAAGGTTCACTCCCGGATGAAGGTTCACCCCCGGATGAAGGTTCACCCCCGGATGAAGGTTCACCCTCGGATGAAGGTTCACCCCCAGATGAAGGTTCATCCCCGGATGAAGGTTCACCGGGGGATGAAGGTTCATATGGGGATGAAGGTTCACCCCCGGATGAAGGTTCACCCCCGGAAGAAGGTTCACCCTTGGATTAAGGTTCACCCCCGGATTAAGGTTCACCTCCAGATGAAGGTTCACCCCCGGATGAAGGTTCACCCCCGGATGAAGGTTCACTCCCGGATCAGTTCACCCCCGGATTTAGGTTCACCCCCGGATTAACGTTCACTCCTGGATGAAGGTTCACCCCTGGATCAGTTTATCCTTGGAGTAAGGTTCACCCCAGGATGAAGGTTCACCCTCGGATGAAGATTCACCCCCGGATGAAGGTTCACCCCCGGATGAAGGTTCACCCCCGGATGAAGGTTCACCCCCGGATGAAGGTTCACCCCCGGATGAAGGTTCACCCCCGGATGAAGGTTCACCCTCGGTTGAAGGTTCACCCCTGGATGAAGGTTCACCCCCGGATGAAGGTTCAACGGGGGATGAAGGTTCACCGGGGGATGAAGGTTCACCCCCGGATTAACGTTCACTCCTGGATGAAGGTTCACCCCTGGATCAGTTTACCCCCGGAGTAAGGTTCACCCCCGGACGAAGGTTCACCCCCGGATTGACGTTCACTACTGGATGAAGGTTCACCCCCGGATTAAGGTTCACCCCCAGATGAAGGTTCACCCCCGGATGAAGGTTCACCCCCGGATTAAGGTTCACCCCCGGATGAAGGTTCACCCCCAGATGAAGGTTCACCCCCGGATTAAGGTTCACCCCCGGATTAAGGTTCACCCCCAAGGTTCACCCCTGGATTAAGGTTCACCCCCGGATGAAGGTTCACCCCCGGATGAAGGTTCACCCCCGGATGAAGGTTCACCCCCGGATGAAGGTTCACCCCCGGATGAAGGTTCACCCCCAGATGAAGGTTCACCCCCGGATGAAGGTTCACCCCCCGATTAAGGATCACCCCCGGATTAAGGTTCACCCCCGGATGAAGGTTCACCCCCGGATGAACACCCCCGGATGAAGGTTCACCCCTGGATCAGTTCCCCCCCTGATTAAGGTTCACTGTCGGATGAAGGTTCCCCCCCGGATTAAGGTTCACCCCCGGATGAAGGTTCACCCTCGGATTAAGGTTCACCCCTGGATGAAGGTTCACAACGGATGAAGGTTTACCCCCGGATGAAGGTTCACGATGAAGGTTCACCTCCGGATTACCCTTGCCCTTCCGCCTGCATGGCATTCACCCATCCAGCTTCCTAGCCTGCATGGTATCGGACATGGTGGTGGGCTGCGCATCGCCCTATGAATCCTTCTCTCCGTCTGCCACTCTCTCATCCCTCATCGCTGCTCCCATCTCTTGTCCACCTGTCCAGCTTCCTATCCTGCATGGCATCGGACATGGGAGTGGAGTGTGCATCGCCCTACGACTCGCGCTTCTTCCCCCAGCGCCTCCTGCTCTACGACAAGCACCCGGGAGGGATAGGCTTGGCGGTGCAGGTATGTCCGATATTCAGAGGGGAAGATACTCCTTCTATCCACCGCCCCTGCTTTCACCGCTCGCCCTACGACTCGTGCTTCTTCCCCCAGCGCCTCCTGCTCTACGACAAGCACCCGGGAGGGATAGGCTTGGCGGTGCAGGTATGTCCGATAGGCAGAGGGGAAGATACTCCTTCTATCCACCGCCCCTGCTTTCACCGCTCGCCCTACGACTCGTGCTTCTTCCCCCAGCGCCTCCTGCTCTACGACAAGCACCCGGGAGGGATAGGCTTGGCGGTGCAGGTATGTCCGATAGGCAGAGGGGAAGATACTCCTTCTATCCACCGCCCCTGCTTTCACCGCTCGCCCTACGACTCGCGCTTCTTCCCCCAGCGCCTCCTGCTCTACGTCAAGCACCCGGGCGGGATAGGTCTGGCAGGGCAGGTATGACTGCCTGGGACCTGGGGAAATCAGTCCTGGATGTGTGATTGCAGGTGGTAGTATGGATATGTGAACCGCCTGCAATCGCACCTCCAGGGCCTTGTGAACTTGCTGACTTGCTAGCTCAGCCTTGCATCCGGTCATTTATCGAATGTTGTCATGCGGGCCCAGGTTTCGAATCACTTTGATCTTCCTGCCTCCTCCCTGCTCTTGTCATCTCTTTTTTCTTTCAGCTGCAGCCTCAGTTCCCCGCAAGGGTCCCCCTCTTTTGACGGACGTCCTACAGCATTCACGCCCGGCAATTTCACCAACACCATCCCTGCGTGTAGCACAATTCTGTTTCTGCCGTCTTGTGAAACCCTTGGGTGAGACTGTGTGGTTGGGATGGGTTTCGGAGGCGCGCAGATCCAAATGTTCCATTACCGCCGGGAATTTTGACGGATGGGTTGGTGGGGTGAGTGTCGCGCAACCGGGTGAAAGGGATCGCATGGCATGAAGGCGGGCGCACGTATTGGTTGGAGCAACTTTTGGCTCTGGTTTTTTGGCGGGACAACAAACGCGCCTTTTTTAGGGTCGCACGATGATCGATGGCCCAAAGTGGTGTTTTATGTAGTTCGGGGCATCCGCAAATTGCGGATGCCCGGAACAGTGCTGATGACCCGAACCTGGATACGCCCTTACTTTCCGTCCCCCTAAATTTGGGGGTCTTGTCCTGAAGCTTTTACCACCGTGCCCATCGCAGCCAATGGGTTGTCGCGTTGGTTCTGACAACGCTGACCAGACGAGAAGGGCGAAATTGTAACTCGATATCGACAGCGTCTCAGCGAGCGAAGTCAGGACGGCCTCCCCCAGCAGCACCGTACAGCACAATGCAGCCAGTCAAACCTTGAATTTGCCAGTCTCTCCAACTTGTTGCCAACAACCAACAACGGCCAGGAAAGCCTGTAAACTTCTCCCATTTCCAGCAATACCGTACCCACTCGCACATTAACGCCTTATAACGTAAAGCACCATACTGAGCCGCATTCAAAAGCTTTTGAAACACACCGACCAGCGAACCAGAAAGCACCAGTGGGCATCCAGGCTGTCGGCCATCTCATCGTCCTCCTGTCCACGTATCTTCAAAAATTATACGTGTGCTTGCGATGTGATTGAACGTTGGCTCGAGATGAAGCCTAGCCGAAGCGTGGGCTACCAGAATGCCTCCCCCACAGACAGCACATCTCCCGCAACCCTGTATTAGTGCTCCTTATGAAGTGAGTCGTTCCTTATGACTCTCCGAAGCAAGATCGTGAATAGGCTGCATTTTGCCGTTGCTTGCAGACTTACTTTGCGCTGAATGTGTTTTCATTGAGTTGCGCGTTCTTGCGGTCTTCTTAGCTTGCAGACGAAGACACCGGAGTGAACATGCAGGAATTGGGTTTCCTGGCTCGAATCTTTATGTACGTGCGTGCTGAGATGCTCCGTCGTTATGCTGCTGCACCATTCAGAATTATTAGTGATTAAGACTCAGACCGTAACGGCATCATATCAAAGCCCAGTGGGTGATCGCGGAATTCCTTTTCCCCGAAGCGATTTTTTAGAGAAACGTTCAAGTGTTCGCAAGGTTTTGTGTCAATGGATAATGCAGCTGATGATAGCCGTCCGATCAATCAGATTGAAGACTCCTCAGAACACCATAATGCACTCCAAGAGTCTCTGCGTCAGCGAAGTCGTTCCATAGACACCGAAGCAGAGCCAGATTCGCACCGTTCCGACACGAGTCGACTCGATAATCCCCCAGATCTGCGTCGTTCCCTCTCGGACGGATCTCCTCGCCAGGCTCCAGTTGTTCCTACCAACAGATCTCCCGATTGTGTCGGGTCGGCAAGACGACAGGACGCTCCTGTCGGTTCCACTGACAACGCTGACATGGATCGTTGTGGCTCTTCTCCGAGTCAGAATCAAGACTTCCTGTCATCCGCTCAGGCCTCGCCATTCGATCGAAAACCCCGACATTGTAATGGATCTCCAGCCAGGCCCGGTGGGTCTCCAGCCAGGCCCGGTGGATCTCCAGCCAGGCCCGGTGGGTCTCCAGCCAGGCCCGGTGGGTCTCCAGCCAGGCCCGGTGGGTCTCCAGCCAGGCCCGGTGGGTCTCCAGCCAGGCCCGGTGGGTCTCCAACCAGATTCCATGAATTCCCAGCCAGACTCGGTGAAACCTCAACCAGGCTCCACGATTTACCAGCCAGAGCTGGTGGGTCTCCACCCAGGCTCCATGATCTACCAGCCAGACCCCAGACCTGCTCGTACGCTTCTCCGCACACCGCAGCCGCTGCCCATAAAGATTTGCCCGACCGCCAATCGCCTGATCAGGCCTTTTCAGATCCGAGATCGCCTGACCAAGGATTGTCTGAACGAGAATCGCATGATAGAGTATCAAATGACGGAGAGTTGTCGTTTGGTCGAGAATCGGCTATTTGTAGATCTCCTGATAGAGAATCGTCGCCTGATCAAGACTCTTTGTTTCAGCCGAGTCGTAATGGCGCACAAGTGTTGACGGGACGCACCGAGGCTTGTATAAGGGGACATTACTATACCGAGGGTTATCCAACAGATGATCAACAAACGGAGAGTTACCGTAAGGAGGGTTACCGAACTGAGGACGATTGCACCGGTGACTCTCGCAAGGAGGATTATCGCACGGATGGCTCTCGTACGGAGGACACTCGTACGGACGTACCAAGTGACCGGATCACTCACAGATTCCCTGATCGCACGTATGGGTTCCTGCAGCGCGCCGATGGGTTCCTGCAGCGCGCGCAGCTGTTGCTGCAGAGCCTCGCGAGCCGCAGCCGGTGGTGGTGGGTGCAGCGGCGACGAGTCGCCGCGTTTGTGATCCAGAGGAAGGTCGCCTGGGCTGCTGCGGCCACGCGGCCGTGGACTCAGACGGGGAAGAGCCGACACCGCCGCCGATGGGGAAGCGGAATGGGAGGCGGAGGGGGAGGGGGAGGGGGAGGGGGAGCGGGAGGGGGAGCGGGAGGAGGGGGAAAGGGCGCGAGTGTAAACAGGGTACTGGCTGCACTGGCGGTGGTTCTCTTTGTGGTGAATTTCATCCTGCTCTCCTCGCGCATGGACGGGGCTGCGCGGAGCAAGCAGGCGCGCGGGGTTCATGGCACGGGGGCGCGGAGCGAGCGCCAGGCGGAGAACGAGGAGGCGGAGGAGGGAGGGTTTGCGGATGTGACCGCGAATGCTCACGTCCGCCCTGGGTACGGACGGCCACTGCTCCCACTCACTGTCACAGCCGCACTATCTCACTCACTGTCACAGCCGCACTATCTCACTCACTGTCACAGCCGCACTATCTCACCCACACACTCCCTCAATGCGTCCCTTGGCCTGTTGAAGCTTCCAGAACCTTCAAAAAAGCGTCTCGAACTCTCATAAGGCATTTGGCAACTTCGCCATGCCCTGCTCGAGTTTCCCATCTCTTCACGCTTCCGCTCACGGTCCAGAACCCCCTTGTACGGCCCCCTTTCCCCCCTCCCCCCACCCCTTCTACTCCCCACTGCGCGACAGGGCCGGATCAGGCGGGCATGGGCGCGAGGAGTGGTACAGGCGAGGGCTGCACACCCTCCCAGGCTCCCCCCCTCGCCCCAAATGGAATGCCTCTGACGATTCCTTCCTCAACTCCCTCGTATGGCCCTCACTCTCTTCCTGTACATTCACCCTGCACACTCACCCTCCACTTTTGAGACGCCTCAAAAGTATTCTCCCCCTCGCCCGAAATGGAACGCCTCTGATGACTCCCTTCTCAACTCCCTCGTATGGCCCTCACTCTCACCATGCCCACTCGCCCTGCTCACTCGCATCGTGACATCCCGTCTGCATTCCCCCCCTTGCCCCAAATGGAACGCCTCTGATGACTCCTCCTCAACTCCCTCATATGGTCCTCACTCTCACCATGCCCACTCGCTCTGCTCACTCGCATCGTGACATCCTGTCTGCATGACCCCCCTCCCCCTCGCCCGAAATGGAACGCCTCTGATGACTCCCTTCTCAACTCCCTCGTATGGCCCTCGCCCTCACTCTACACATTCCCATGAGCACTCGCTCTACACACTTGCACTTTCCTCACGGCCGTCCTAGCAACCTGCAGTACCGCACCTCTTACTGCCACACCACGCTGTCCCTCTCACTGTCTTCAATCCCCTCTGCTCTCCACCGCTCTACCAGCAATGCCCTGCCTTTCCCCCCTATACCTCCCTGCCTCTCACCCCTCTGGCTCCCCGCCTCTCACCCCTCTGCCTCCCCGCCTCTCACCCCTCGTGAGCCATGCAGCTGAGCAGGTGGCACGTGCAGCCATACTCGTCGCAGCCAGGCGTGTATCTGCTGCAGCAACCCACGGACTTCGCCTGTGTGCTGCTCATCCAGGACGCCTGCTACCTCTTCATGCAAGGCAAGGCCTCCCCCCTCTCCACGTGTTACCACCTCTTCATGCAAGGTAAGGCCTCCTCCCTTCCGTTCCCCACGTGCCACCGCCTCTTCATGCAAGGTGCCGTACTGGGTACCACACTCCCTATGTGCCACCTCAACATGCGAGGTAAGGATACCTTCCCCTCTCTCGAAATGACTTCTGAGTCGACTCAGAACTCGTTTTGATGCAACCTCTTCTCCTCCCCACCACTCGCACCACTCCCGCCACTCCTCTATATCACACCAGGCAAGTCAAAGCACCACCAGCCACACACGGGGATCTGGTTCGCCAGGGATCGAACCCGCGACCTCTCACAGATATCCATTGTCAACAACGTGTGCCACCTGTACAGTGACAGGCTGGCAGACGCGCTGTACGAGTCCTGGCTGGAGCTGAGCTGGCATGAGCTGGCAGCGGCCCTCGAGAGAGAGGCGGTTCATGGGAAAGGGGTGAGTAGGGAGAGGGTGGAAGCAGGGGTGGGGGGAAGAGGAGAGAGAGGAGGAACGGAAGGGAGGGGTAGGGAGAGGCAAGCGTTCTGGAAGGGCAGGCGGAAGGGGAGGGGAGCAGAGCGAGCAGGTGGGGGAGCAGAAGGGGAGGAGGTAGGGGCTGGAGGGGTGGACGTGGGAGCAGGAGGGGTGGGTGGAGGGATGAGTGTGGAGGATGTGAAGGAGGTCGCCCGGTTGCATGCTGCAGCAGTGCGGAAACGCAAGGCGGTCATGGCTGCCGCTGCTGCTTCTGGTGCTGCTGCTGCTAGTGCGGCAGCAGGGGAGACGAGCACGCAGCAAGACAACAGCAAAGGGGGCAGCAGAAACGGCAGGAACAAGGGCAGGAGTAACGGCAGCAACAACAAGGGCAGCAGCAGCAATGGGGCCGCATGGGCGCAGTACCATGCGTCCACGGACCAGTCTGCAACAGGGGACAACGGACTAGGGTACTCACTAGACGCTCTCGACGCTCCAGAATCTCGAGAATCTCTAGAAGCTCTAGACGCTTCTGATGGGCCGGTGGTGGAGCCGGTGAGGTTGAGAGACCCCAGTGACGACTGGCCGCCGCCAGGGACAGGCGCGAGGGCGCAGGAGGCGAAGGCACAGGAAGCGAAGGCTGGTGAGAGGGCCGGGAGGGGTGTGAGAGGAGGTGGTGGTGGTGGACGGGAGAGGGTTGAGGTGGGTCAGACGGGAGGGAAGGTGAGTGGGAAGGGTGGGACGAGTGTGAGAGGAGGTGGTGGAGGAAGGGAGAGTGGGAGGACAGTGAAGGTGAAGGTGGTGAGTGCTCGGAGGAAGCTGCTGGGAATCTGGGGGTCCCGGCAACGCCACAGCCGGGGGAGGCGCACACAGCAATCCCACAGGAGAAGCAGCAGCAGCAGCAATGCTGCCAACACCACCACTTCCACCACCACCAGCAGCAGCAGCAGCAGCAGCAGCGCGAGCGTCAGCAGCAGAAGCAAATACCACCTCCCCCAGATGCATACTCTGCAGCCACGGCACATGGCCATGGACAACCTAGCAGACGGGTTCGCCCAGGAGGCAGACGAGCAGCCCCCCGTAGACCTCTCCGACCTGAAGCGCCGCTCCCTGCACACTTACGGGCGGCTGACTAACCACCTGGGCATGACCCGGTACGTGGGGGTGAGTGAGAGGAGGAGTAGGGAGCGGCTGGTGAGGGGGATGAGGGGGAGGGGGGTGAGGGTTGGTGTGGTGGTGCGGTATGGGTCGGCTGTGGGCGAGTTTGGGCGCGCGCTGGTGCCTCTGATGGAGGTGGCGGGGCACCTGGAGGGGTCGTTGCAGGCACAGACAGACACAGCACAGTTGGGTCAGCAGCAGCGTGGAGAGGAACGGCAGGTGGAGCAGGCGGGGCGGGGAGAGCAGGGAGGGGAGCAGCAGAGGCGGGGTGATGAGGGAGTGGTGGTGTTCTTCCCCGGAGATGACTCCATTCGCTCCCCATGGACCGTGCATGCCGCCCGCCTGCTGTTTGGTGACGCCACCCGGGTGGAGGCAGGCAGAGTTGCCGGCCAGAGGGTGAGACACACGGTGCACTTTCACTGGTCTTGCAAACAACAAACAAACAAACAAACAAAAACATCCTTTGCTGATAATCACAGTCAAGCTTCCTCCTGGTGCAGACCGGCAGAGAATGGCGTGCTGAAAGGAGAGGAAACATCCTCTACCCCCTTTCCTTTCCTTCCATTCCGTTCCCCCCCCATCACACCACCAGGTGTGCTTCCAGAACCTGCTGCTCCCCATTAACAAGCTGCACTGCCCATCTCCCCACCCCATTCCACCCCATTCCCCTCATTACCCCACCAGGTGTGCTTCCAGAACCTTCTGCTCCCCATCAGCAAGTTGCACCGTCCTCACAGTGCCGACCTCACTCGCCGCCGCGCCTCTCAAACCACACAAGCCACACACGCCACTCAGAACTCCCAAGCCACTCACACTGCAGCAGCCACTCTCCACGCCCCTCAACCCACCCACTCACTCACTGACCCCCTCCCAAGTTTCTCAAGCGCCCCAATCCTTCCAAAGACCCCCCAGCAAGCTCTTCAACCCTCCTCCCTGGCACCTCCTCTTGCTCTCAAGTCACTTGACGTATCGATACAAGCTGTCTCGCCACAAGCCATGGCATCTGCATCTGTTGACCGCACAGGGAGGGTGGTCCCCTCAAGGCGGCAGGAGGGTGCAAGTGCAGTGACGGATGGAGGGGCGCGCGTGGGTTTGCAGGGCAACTATGGAAATGGGTCGCAATCACAAGTGCGACCGGAGGTTTATGAGAGGAGAATACTGCCAAAGCTTGCCATCCACGCATCTCCAGAGGAGAGGCTGGCTGTGGGTGTTGCTGCGCTGCCATTGGGTGATAAACGTCGGGCAGCTGCTCTGGCGAATCCCCTGGCTGCTGCTGCTGCCGCTGCTGCAGCTGCAGCGGGTGCGGCAGGAGGAGTGGCAGCAGGAGGAGTAGGAGTAGAGGAAGCAAGGAGGCGCACAGACATGGGTTCAAGGCCACGTGAGGGAGTGGGGCAGAAGCAGCACGGTGCTGGGGTGAAAGGAAAGAGCGGTGAGGAAGGGGAGCTTAACGAGCACGAGAAAACGAAGAGGGAGAAGGAGAGAAAGAGATTGGAAGGAGAGGAGGCGCAAGGAGAGGATGACGATCCAGTGGCAGATGCTGAAGCAATTGCGAGGCAGGAGATAGATGACTACTTGGACCAGTACCAGGAGGAGCAACACCGCACCGACCGTGATAGTGACCATGACAGTGACAGTGACCGCCTCCCCCTCCCCACTGATACCAACTTTTCCCCCACTCCCAATCTCAACCTATCCGGCCTTGCTACTGCTGAGCCCGGTGCTACTGGGATTGAGGCCTCTCCTCCCTCCTCCACAGGAGGTTTGCAGCCGGTGATTCCCACTCAAACGTTTCTATACCTGCTGCCTGACCGGGATGCCTTGGGCAGATTAACGGGCAGCACGGGAAAGGATTCCTGGCAGGTGACTCTAGTGGAGCGTGACAATGTGGAGGGGCTGAAGAACCAGCAGGAAGTGGTAGCGCTGATTCAAGAGGTTTTCCCGGAGCTGCCGGTGGTGATAGTGCGGCTTGGCAACGTGTCACTGTATGATCAAGTGACAATAATGAAGGTGAGCAAGCTTTTTGTGGTGTGCACTGCACTCCTACACACTAGGGATTGACTTGCTTATAAGGCCGTTCGTACTCTTTCCAGTCCAAGGGACACCAAGTCTGTCCACCCGTTCTTGCTCCCTCTGAACCCTTCCCACACCCCTGTACCCATTTCATTCACCCCAATACCCCCACCCTCTGACACTCCCCCAACCCCCATCCCCCTCCCTCTCCCCAACCCCTCTGCACCCCTTTCATTTCCCTTCAGCGCACGCTCATCCTTGTAGCAGTCCACGACCTTATCCTCTCCACCTCACTCTTCTTCCTGCCACGTGGCGCTGTCCTATTGGAGCTCTTCCCCTACAAGCTTTTCAGCACGCAGCACAAGAAGCTTGCACTCCGCTCTGGTATACACTACATGGCTTGGCAAAACCAGTTTCGCTACAATGGATTCTTTGGGGAAAATTGCTTTTGGCGAGGAGGTTACAAGGATACAAAAGACGAAGTATGCTGGAGAAAGAAAGATTGTATGAGGTGTATCCGAGACAAGAGTACAACATGGGTGGCAGGTAGAGATCTTTTGGAGGTTTTAGCAAATGCAAGGTTGCATGTGCTGAAGCGGCTACCTCGCATTGCCATGCACAGGCGAAGTGTAGGTAGGTAATTGTATTCATTCTTTATTGGTGCAATAATACTTGTGTTCCATATGTTGCGTCTTGTTCGATCTAATGAACGCCACTGTGCTGGTAGCGCGGATTTGGCGAGCTTATGTCGATGTTCGGTGAACACGTTGATGATGATCAGTAACTCTGCGAAGAACGGCGATGAAGGTTTGTGGCGATAATATCAGAAGGCAAAGAACAGGTCAGCACGATTCCTTGCGACAAGGCTCGAGAGAAATTCCGATGCCAGCATGGCGATCAACGATTGGGGAATGTTCACGGTAAGCTGCTCAACAGTCTTCGTCACTGAAAGTGGGGCTAGCAAGGGCAGCGACGCGTGATGTATGGCGGGCGGCACCAACGCGAAGCGCGTTTACAGAGTGAAGGGCATTCCGAAGCGCGGATGCAGTAAGTGAGCAACATTGACATTCAAACCATATGTTTGCCAGCACAACCAAGCAACGAGTACGTGAACCACGGGGAGAACAGTCTGAACCGTACTAGAAGCCTGAAATAATATTCACAATTTAATGAGCACCGTCCAACCATGTGATTTGATCCTCTGCCTCCCCACCCCACCCATCACGGTTTTGGCTTGCGCCAAAAAACAAGCATTTGAGGAGTTGACAAAGCAACCCTCCTTTTCCTTGATGTCTTGCTCACTCCACAATCCAGCGCAACAGCGTCTGGGTAGGTGTTTAGCTGTCGCCTTTACCATCGACACAGTAGGCCGCACGGAACGTCCTTTCGCGGCACAGCGATCTCGAAAGCTTCCATCAGTACAATACAGAGGGCAAAGGCTTGCTGGCTATGCTGTATTTCCCGCAGTCTCCAAAATGACTTGCTTATCAACCTGCCACCGTTTCAAATCCCCCCTTTTTCATTTGGAACTAGTCTACTCGATACCCATCATCCTCTACTGATATTTTGATTATTCATGAGAGTCATAAATGAGTGCTGCTCGTGCTACCAGTACAGCTTCTTTGCCTTCTGGCTTCACATCTCATCGAAAACCTCCCACATAATAAACCACTTTTCTCCTGAAGTTAGAAGTCTCTAGAAAGCAGGCTCGTGCAGTGCACTGTCACGCCGCACAGGGGCTTCTTACGCTGCTACCCGGTCATACCTGGTGCCACTCGGTGCCGCACGGTGCCACAAACGCGCATACAGCGCCGGTCGCAAAGGAGTGCTGCCATGCGCGCTCGCATGCGGGAAATTAGTAATCGCGCACTCGCCTTCCGGGGCGTCGCAATCGCGGCGTTCCTGCTGTCCGCCACGTGCGCATCGGCGACTGCTCATGACCACCCGTTTTTTCCGCCCTTCCGTTCCGCGCTTGCGCTAAAGGCGCTCGAGGTGGAACCCTCTCCGTCGCCCGAGTCGCTCCGCGAATCGCGGCGCGCGCTAAACGCGGTGGAGGTGGAGTCGATAGCGGGCCCCGGCTGCGTGAACGCGTTTCCCGCGAAGCCGCTCTGCAAGTTCGTCGACAGCCTCACGTCGCGCGTGATCCCCGTGTTGGACGGCGGCTCCGGCAAGACGCTGACCATCGGCGTCTACCAGACATACCAGGTGCGGCTCGGCGTTGGCTCAGCGAGTGACTATGTTGCCTGAATATTCATGCACAATAATGACGAGCTTAATTGGGTGATCGGTACGTGGACGAATGAACGAGCGTGTGCTTCAAAAACAGGAACTGGTGACGAACTTGTGACTGGCGGCTGTGACAGATCGTCCTGTGTGTGACTGTGCGTGCAGAAATTTCACCGCGACCTTCCCGCGACGAAGATCTACGCTTACGGCGTGAGCGAGAAGACCGCGTCGTACCCTGGGCCGACGATCGTGGCGAAAAAGGGGGTTACCACGCGGGTAACCTGGTGCAACCGGCTGCAGGACCGGCAGCACATGTTCACGCAGGACTACATGCTCATGAAAGAAATGCCCAAGCCGAAAAAGGGAGGCATTCCAACCGGTGAGTGCGCTTTGAGTCGACTCTGACGGGTACTTACTGGTCGATAAGCGTACTTACTGACTCTTTTGAGCTGGACAGCGCGAGCCCAGGGTAGTTCAGTTATGCTGTAAAGGCCGGGCGCCCTAGCTTTGTCGCGGCCTCCTGCCCACCGCTTTTGAGTCGACTCCAATGCTCACCTGCTCGCTTGCTTGCCTGCCTTCCCGCGGTCGTCTGCATGATTTCCCACCTCCCTGCCTGCCTGGCCGCCTGCCCGACTGTCTATCCACCCCTCCCCTCCCCCAGTGCCCCACCACCACGGTGGCGAGACGATGAGCAAGTACGACGGGCACCCACTCGCGTGGTTCACGCAGTTCGGCGAGCACGGCCCCACCTTTTCCTCCTCCTCCTCCTCACACTCCCCCAACTCCTCTTACTCCTCCTCGTCCTCGTCCTCCTCCTCCCCCTGCGTCACCTACGAGTATCGCAACCAGCAACCGGCCTCCCTCACCTGGTATCACGACCACACGCTCGCTTGGACGCGCCTCAACACTGTAGCGGGGATGGCGGGCTTCTATATCAAAACCGACGCTAACGGGGATGAGCGCGACATGAAGGCATGGCTTCCTCCGTGGAAGCGCACCGTGCCTCTGGCGATCGCGGACCGCCTGTTCTTTAAGAACGGATCGATTAACTTCCCCAACGTGGGCGTGGATCCTAAAGTGCATCCGAATTGGATTCCCGAGTACATCGGCGACACCATCGTGGTCAACGGCTTGGTGAGTGCACACTCGCGTCAATTACCGTGTCTACGAGTCGACTTGCGAGTTCCAACCTTCCAACTTCCAACGTCTCCTCCACATGCGTGCGTGGTGTCCTCTCTGCTCTTCCTCTCTGCTCTTCCTCTCTGCTCTTCCTCTCTGCTCTTCCTCTCTGCTCTTCCTCTCTGCTCTTCCCCAGGTGTGGCCGTACCTGCGCGTGCGCCCCGCGGTGTACCGCTTCCTCCTCCTCGGCGCGGCCAACGCGCGCTTCTTCAACCTCCGCTTCCAGTGCGCCGCGCGCGGAGACTACCCCAACTTCGTCCCCCCGCTTCGCGGAAGCGTCGTCAATTTCGCGCTCATTGGCAGCGACGGGGGGTACCTGCAGCGGCCCGTGTTCCTCTCCTCTCTGCTGCTGGCTCCCGGGGAGCGATACGATATTCTGGTCGACTTTGCCGCGGCGCAGCAGGGCGGCGCGTGCAGGGATGTGATTTTAACGAATGATGCTGCAGCGCCGTATCCCGGGGGAGAGGCGGTGGATGGCAACACGGGCGTGGTGATGCGGTTTGTGATCCTCGACCGCAGTCCCTTCAAGGCCCCAGCAATTCCCAAGAGAATTGTTGTACGCTTCTGGCCACTTCTCCTCCTCCTTGCCACTTTCCCCTTGGCATTTCCTAATAGTTGTACGGGTCTTCCTAACTCTTTCCCCTTGGCATTTCCCCCATTGCCCTTGTTCGATCCTCCCCCTTTCCTGGCTTGTTTCTTATTCCAAGATCACTCAATGAATTAACCTTTCCCTTTCCCCCTTTCCCCCTTGACCCACTCTCCCCTGTCCACTCAACCTTCCACATGCTCTCTCACCCACTCTTCTCCGCTTCTATCCCCTATCCACCACATCCCTTCCAGCCTGTCCCCTCTATAGACTTCTCCAAGATCCACAGAGTGCGCTGGAAGAAGCTAGTGGAGACTACCAACCCTATAAGCGGCATGCCAGAACGAGCCACTATAGACGGGCTTCGTTATATGGACCCAGTAACGGAGATCCCTGTACAAGGCAGTAACGAGATCTGGCACATCATCAACCTCTCGGCCGACGCGCACCCTATTCACTTGCACTTGGTGCAATTCCGGGTCGTTTCACGCCGCGCTTTCGACGCCATGGCGTACCAGGCGAACAAGTGCTCCTTCACGAGCAAGAACCGTCCGTCGTGCTTTGTGGGACCGGAGATGAAGGCGCAGAAACACGAGATTGGGTGGAAAGACACGGTGCCTGCGCTGCCGGGTCAAGTGCTCACGTTCTGGGTCGGCTGGTACGGTCAGGTGAGCTCACAGCTGTCGGAAGCGAGGTGGAAGTTGGCAAGGGAGAGAGGAGGATAAAGTGGGAAAGATTTCTGGGAATGTTGGTGGTGGTTGGGCTTCTACTGTTCCCAATCCCGCAATTGTCAGTCAGAGTGAGGCGCAACCCAAGTGTCACAACAAACACGTTGCTGTTGTATACCCTGTGTACACTCCAAACCTGGTCTGTCCACCCTCATCCTCCCTCCTCACTTTGTGACATTAACACTTCTCCTGCATTTCCACCTTCATATCCAACCCCCCTTCCCTGCAATCACACAACAGGACGGCAAGCCATTTGAGTTTGACCCTACATCTGGCCCGGGCTACGTGTGGCATTGCCACATACTGGACCATGAGGATAACGACATGATGCGCCCTTTGAAGATACACAAGAAAAGTTCCGGGAACTCGTATTGATACGTATTACGAGAACCATAGCGTGTCTGCATGTTTCAGGTACTAACGCCTTGACAATAACAAAAGCAAAAGCAATGTAGTTCTTAGGTGTGCATTGTGCCGTTGTATAGTACTGTATTTAAATATATGGTTATCCACAATTAGAATTCGACTGCCCACTCCAGCGTGTGGCAGCAACATTGCAATCTACACAAGAACAGAATAGTTAGCTCAGTTCGTCCCTAGCGGACCATCACGAAGTCAGATCCCATTGGTCAACTGCTGCCAGTGATCCCATGAATAAGCATCCTAGCTACTAGCACGTCGTACTTGCTAATCAGCAATCCCGGTTAACTACACTACACGGTAAGAAGAGCCCCATGGTTACACAAAGCCGCGACTCGAGACGTTAGCTCGTTGCATGGTCGTTGATCAGCGAACATTTAACACGACACGATCATTCAGTGCGACCATTCGGCACAATCTTGAACGGCCGCATCATGTCGTTGTCCTCGTGATCCAGCATGTGGCAATGATACACATACCCAGGCCCGACAGACGCATCAAACTGAAGCGGCCTTCCGTTGTTATCCTTCCACCCAGCCCACAGTGTGAGCACCTGACCGGGATACGCAGGTGTCGTGTCCTTCCACCCCCTCTCGATCGGATCAACGGGGATTCTTCCGCTCGTCCAGCACGCGGGCTTCTTATCCGATTTGCGGAACGAGCACCTGCCAGCCTGGAAACCCGCCACGTCAAACGCGCGGCGGGCGATCGGACGGTGGTCAATCAAATGGATGTGGAACGGATGCGCGTCGGCCGAGAGGTTGATGATGTGCCAGATCTCGTTCGTGCCTTGCTTCGGGTAGTCCCTGACAGGGTCCATAAACCCTAAGTTGTCGATGGTGACGCGGATGGGGAGGTTCGTTTTTGGATCCATTTCTTCCACCAGGCGGTGCCATCGCACCCTCTGAACGTCCCTGAAGTTGATCCTAGGAACGTACTGCACAGGAATATCAAGGGGAGAAATGGAGAAGTTACTAAACAGGGAGAGAAAAGGCGGTTCGTAGGAGCTAAAAACAAAGGAGGGGGACAGGCTAGAAAACAGGCACCCCGGCTTGTCGAATTCACTTACCGAAATTCGGTTGGGGATTTTAGGGGCGGGGAAACGTCCACGGTTGGTGATCACGATGCGCATGACAAGTCCGGTGTCGCGGTCAGCGGCAATACCGCCCGGGTAAGGCGCACGCGCGGTATTTTGGAGGATGACGTCTTTGCAAGACGACGGGAGGTTCGAGAAATCCACGAGAATATCATGGCGCGCACCAGGGGTGAGGAGCAGCGAATTCATGTACACGGGCTTCTCTTGGTAACCACCGTCGCTAGCGATCTACGAGGAAGGACGAACAAAAAAACAATCATTAGCGACAGCGAAATTCGCCCTTCCAACATGGGAAACGAATTGATTGTGGTTACGGGTTGTTGAACGAAAAAATGTACCAATTTATCTTCGGAAAGTTGGAAGAATTGATACTTACCTCGATCATCTGAAGGACCTTGCCCGTGAGAGGGGGTACGAAGTTGGGATAATCGCCGCGCTGCGCGCAAACGAATTTCAGATCGTAGAAGCGCGCGTTCGACGCGCCCAGCACCTTGAAACGGTAAAGCGCCGGGCGAATCTTGAGGTACGGCCAGACCTGCGCAACGCGCGGACAGCGTTGAACACCACGAGGCAGCAGCAAATATTCGTCATGTCAGAAAGCTCTGGTTACTACGTTCCAGGCTATGCGAGTAGTACGAGCACTCAACTCTCGTTAAACTCACCACGCCGTTGACCATGTTGGTGTTGCCGAGGTACTCGGGAATCCAGTTGGGATGCACCTTCGGCACAATGCCCACGTTCGGATAATTGATCGACCCGTTGGCGAAAAACAGCCGATCTGCGATGGCGAGCGGGATCGTACGGCTGGGAGGAGGCAGCCAGGTGTACTTGGACTCGACCTTTGGGTCCGTGATGATGAACAGCCCCGCCATGCCCGCCGCCACGTTCAGCCGCGTCATGCCCGCCATGTGGTCGTGGTACCACACCGTCGACGCCTCGTCGTTCACGTACTTGTAGTTCTTGGAATAATAGGTGGGGCCTTTCTCGCCGTACTGCGTGAACCACGCGAGAGGGTGGCCGTCGTAGTAGCTCTGCTGAGAGCCGCCGTGGCGATGCACGACTGCCATAAAAGGGGATTATACGTGTGGCGTGAAAGTGAGTGTAATGCTTGCTGGAGAGGACGGTCGGATTTGCAGAAATGAAGTGCCATGGGAGCGTTTTTGCCTATGGGAATGCCGCGCTTCGGAAACTTTTAACCCATGATGAGCGTGGGGTTGTTCAGTGAACATGTGCGTGTTGTTGAGCAGATGGTTGTGGTGACAAATGCGCTTACTACAGATCCGGATGCCTTTATTGGGAAACTTGTACCCCATGACTCAAGAGGTGGGACGGTGAACATCATATGCGTGTTGTCTTTGAGGCGAATCGAAGCTAACGGAAGGAGAACCCTTTCAGTCATCATGAGATACTGCACTTACCGATGAGCATGCCCTTCTTGGGGAGTTTGAGTGTCATTTTGAGTTTGATGATCAAACTGTACGTACATAGTACGAGTGCTTATGACTTTGAGTGTCTCGTACATCATTATGATGTTCATATATGAACATCATATGCCTATCTTGATTGTGCGATCGACGGTGTACATCAGAATGTGCGTGTTGCCGACCAGGGTACCGTTCGGGAGCCCCGAGTACAATGGGAAATGTGTTACGAAGCGCGCTCTTACCGATGGGAATGCCTTTCTTTGGGAGTTTGATGCCCATCATGACCGTGCGATCGACAGTGAACATGTGCGTGTTGTCGAGCAGATGGTTCTCCCACGTGACCGTCGTGTCGATGCCCACCTTGGCCACAATGGTGGGGCCGGGGTACGACGCCGTCTTCTGACTCGTGCCGTACGCGTACTGCTTCGTCGCCGGCAGATCGCGATGGAATTTCTGCGATGCGCACGACAGCGTCGAAGAGAGACATCACAGTGAGCCGAAGGGGCGCATCGTGCGTTCGCGTCAGATTCACGCTGGAATTTCTACGACGTAGCGACGACGCGCGTCCGTCACGAGAACATTGAACAACCGGCGCCGCCTCAAATAGTCGATTTCAGATGGTTGACGCGCGACTTACCTGGTATATTTGGTATACGCCGATAGTGAGCCGCTTGGTGCCATCGAGAGTGGGGATGACACGCGAAGTCAGGCTGTCCACGAACTTGCACAGTGACCTTTTCGGAAAAGCATTTACGCACTTCGGGCCAGCAGTTGACATGAGGGTTATTTCTGCTCTAGCGGCGACATTGATGAGGCTGAAGACTATTAAGAGAACGTAAATCGATTGTCTGCGTTCGGCCATTGTGGCGTGTGTCGTGGAATGATGCGCGGTAGGAGGTATACATTTTAGTCATTTCTTGTTCCAAGTCGAGTGACGGTGGGTGGGAGGGTGGTACGCACGATAAGTGCATTGCCAGCACATGCTGGGGCTTACACGCACTGTAGCCTCTTGACAGGTGACTGTACCTTGTGTTGTTGTTGGGTTGACGGAATTGGCATGGCAAAGCCTGCTAATTGAAGCGAGTCGCTTCGCTTCGAGCCTCCATTGCGTGCCGGCGGCGCGGCGAGCCGTTCTTGCTATATCGAATTACAGGACTTGCAACGAATGAACGCACGTCATCGGTGCACGTGGGCGCCAAACACGTAAATCTGGCTTCCACGGGTCAGCAAACGTGCTTCGATTCCATACGCACAGCCCCACAAGTCATAGCGTTCTATTAATCGACGGGAACTTCAGTGTAGTATGGCACTCAAAAATGAGATGCGGCAAACATCAGGTGGTGGCCGCAATGATATCTTAGAGGCTTTCCACAAATGTATTGATACATCTCAAGACAGAAGGCACACCCTACCCTTTACTCAGAGTCACCCGATACCATACCAATGACCCTTGGGCGTCCCCAGATACGCTCGCCCCAGACATGGAGTTGGAGGGCCATAGGCATTGTTTAGTATGGCTTATTACCTAAGGGAAAGGTTTCAGTCTCGACTGAGAGGAGCAAGCGAGCCTTGCTTCTCTAGCCAGCCTCGACCAGAGAGCGTGTTAGCACTTCATCCTCTGCCTCCATTGTCCCTACAGTCAACGCACAAAGCACGCCAGCACACCGTGCCAGTACTACCCGCCACAAAGGTCATTCAAGGTCGGCGCATCTACCCGGTTTAGAGGTGCCTAAAAAGTAGTCTCTTAACTCACACCACTGAGCCAGCAGTGTCAGCCACACAGCAGACCCATCCAAGGTGGGCACATACCCCGGCCCGGGTGACAATCACACGCATCAAAAACCTCAACGCATCAAAAACCTCAACGGGCAAATCACACAACTCTGCAGTGGTCACACAGGACAGCCCATCCAGGGTCGGCACGACCCGCTGTGACTTCTGAGGCGCCTCAAAAACCTTAACAAGCGAATCACACAACCCCAATCAGACCACCACGCCAGAGGTGTCCGCAACACAGGACAGCCCATCCAAGGTGGGCACATACCCCGGGTCACAATCACACGACACACTCCGCCCAACCCCAAACCAGCACGTGCCGTGCCCACCACACGGCGCCACGTCAGCGCCACAGAACGCCTGGCAAGTGGTGAGCGAAAGCTGGGTCTCGACCCTGGGCACGAGCGCGCATGCACTGGTGGCGGGATACTTGATGCAGTTGTATGCGAGGGACGACTGGTAGAAGATGCCGTTGCGGGTCTGGTCCTTGGGGCAGAAGGGAGAGCTGCCGGCGACGACGGTGGCAGGGCCGTTGAAGTAGTTGTGGTGAATGTTGATCTGCCCCGTGGTCACTATGGTGGCGTTGAAGAAGCCTGAAGGGAGTGGGCCCGAGAACTGGTTGTCGTGTAGGTTGCTGTGGTGGGGTTTACAGGGTGGGCAGGGAATGGAGGGAAACAAAGGAGGGAAGGGGGTTTGAAGTAGCTGTGGTGAATGTTGATCTGCCCCGCGGTTACTATCGTGACGTTGAAGAAGCCGGACGGGAGAGGGCCTGAAAACTGGTTGTCGTGCAAGTTTCTGTGGTGGGGTTTGAAAAGTCGACAGGGGATGGGGGAAATAGTGGGTGGAAGGGGGGTAAATTTACGAAGGGCATGGGAAGACGTGGGAGAAGGTTAGGAAAATGAACAGGAAAGCAGAGCAGGAGCTTGTAGGGGGAAGGACGGAAGGTACTTATGGCAAGAAGAGCATGCCGTGTCGTGCTGCAGATTGAATAAAAGCGTGCGTGTTCTTCCGCCACGAGAATGAGTGAGGGAGGGAGGGCTTACAGCAGGTTGAGTTTGGGCAGAGTGAGAAGGCCAGCGGGGAAGCTGCCACGGAAGCGGTTGCCCTCCAGATACCTGGCGGTTGAGGTTGGGGTTCATTCATGGCGGTAGAGGTTTGCAGAGAGGTGGAGATGGAAACAAGACGAGAGGGACATGTGGCATGCAAGCATGAGCGAATGAACTAGGCCTGGTAACGAGAAGATGTCGTGGCATGTGAAGTGACAGTATGTGAAGTGACAGTATGTGAGTTCCAAGTGGTTTGAGGGTCGAGAGCAGGAATGAAGCAAACAGAATGCAAGGGCGTGGGGGTTGGACAGGTGGGCATTGAGACATGTAAGAAGTCGATTGACTCACAGCACAGAAAACCACCCACCCGGAACGAGTACCACAGCATTAGCTGGGTCATGCACCTGAGCAAACACCCATTGCAGCAAGGGCTTACAGCACAGTGAGCGCCTTGAGGTTGCTGATGCCCTGTGGGATGGAGCCCGTGAAGCGACAGTTGTCCATCAGACTGGCGTGAGGAAAGAGGGGGGATGGAAAACGGGGAGGGTGAAGGCAAAGGAGAGGGTGGGATGGGATGCAGCCTGTGACTTGAAAGTGGTCCAGCAGACTATCGGGAAGTGTAAGCAAAAGAAAGAGAGGCAGCAAGGTGATCTGAGGGAAATCAAGAGTTGCTGAACAGGGAACGGGAGACAGGGATTGGGAAAAGGGGGTGGTGGAAGTGGGGAAAGTGGGACGATGAACCCTGAGTGAACTGGTATTAGTCAAGCAGACTGGGTGGATGAGGAGATGAGAGAAGGGTGAGGTTGAACAAGAGAAGGGTGAGGTTGAACAAGAGAAGGGTGAGGTTGAACAAGAGAAGGGTGAGGTTGAACAAGAGAAGGGTGAACTACGGCATGATTATTGCTTTGATAGAAGCGATGCAACGGTGGTGGCGAACAGCAGGTGAACGAGCAGGGGCGGCAAGCAGAAGGTATGGAGAGGAAGCAGTGGGAGCGAGACGGAGGCTTGTCAAGGCAGGTAGAGGCAGGGAACTGACATGCGGGAGAGGCGAGTGAGCTTGGTGATGGAATCAGGCATGGTGCCATTGAAGGCTGCAAACTCCATCACGCTGCCGCAGTGGAACGAAGGAGGGAAGAGTGGGGGGAAGGAGAGGGAGGGGGGCACAGGGAGGAGGGAAGGGGAGAGAGGAGGAGAGGCCAAATGATATCGTGAAAGCTTTGGTATGCAACAGCATGTTTTCTTTCAGGAGAGGACGAAGTGCGGCGGGATGATGAAAGGTAGGGGAAGAAACAAGAGGTCAAGGGCACAGAAGGCAAGATAGATGAAGTGGGGAAAATAGATCTGCATGTGCGTAATCTGTTAGCATTGGGATCAGTGGGCACTCACAAGCCCGTGAGGCTGACCATGTTGCCCAGGTCTGCATGTGCATGTTGAGAATTCTCAAGAACCAACCAACCAGGCACTGCATTGCACGGCAGGGCACTCACAAGTCCGTGAGGCTGACCATGTTGCCCAGGTCTGCATGTGCATGTTGAGAATTCTCAAGAACCAACCAACCAGGCACTGCATTGCACGGCAGGGCACTCACAAGTCCGTGAGGCTGACCATGTTGCCCAGGTCTGATGGCAGAGGGCCATCCAGGTAGGGGTTGCTGCTCATGAAGCTGATGGTTGGGAGGAAGAGGAGGGAGAACAGGTTTGCAGGAGGGAGACGAAGGTTGGAGGGACAGGGGAAGAGAGTAGATAGGGAGGAAGGAGGAGGAGAGGTGGGGAAAGCAGAAGGTAATGCTGGGCACGGGAAGAGATGGGATGGAAGGGGGAACGGGTGTGTGGGGGTGGTGGGGGGCGAGGAGGGGATGCACGACGTTTACGCATGGGGAGGGTCAGGTCTGGTGTCGCGAACGGGGTATGAGTGAGTGGATGAGATTGAAGCGGTTCAGAAGAAGAGCTGTTAACTAGACTGTAGCTTACAGGATGCGCAGGTTGGTGAGCTTGGTGATGGTTGGAGGCAGAGGGCCGTTGAGGCTGTTCTGATTGATGAACCTGGGAGCAGAGAGCAGGCGGAGATAGGGCGAAGTGAGAGGAGTGGGCTGTGGTGAGCATTAGCAGCAAGGACAAAAGCCAAGGGAGTGGTGGAGTGTTGGCATGAGCAGGACGGCAATAGGGAGGGCTCACAAGTTCTGCTCACAAGTTCTGCTCACAAGTTCTGCTCACAAGTTCTGCTCACAAGTTCTGCTCACAAGTTCTGCTCACAAGTTCTGCTCACAAGTTCTGCTCACAAGTTCTGCTCACAAGTTCTGCTCACAAGTTCTGTTCACAAGTTCTGCTCACAAGTTCTGCTCACAAGTTCTGCTCACAAGTTCTGCTCACAAGTTCTGCAGGGCAGGAAGGTCGCCGATGGTGGCAGGGAGAGTGCCGGTGAGCTTATTGGTGTCGATGTATCTGATGGTGTGAGAGGGAGGGGAAGGGAGAGAGAAGATGCATGCATTCATTGCTCCAACAGTGCAAAGATGTATGGATAGAGTTCCAAGAATAGTAGTGTATTATGTTTGGAGAGGGAGTGAACAGTGGAATGAAATAGTGCCAAATGGAGATTAAAGATCGCCGATGGAATGGAGGTACCTCGTGGTGCCTTGAAGAGCGATGGGGAGGGACACGATAAGATACAAGGGGATTTGAACGGAGCTTACAGATAGTAGAGGTAGGAGAGCTGGCTGAGGCAGGAGGGCACGGAGCCAGTGAAGTGGTTGTAGCTGAGGCGACTGGTGTGGCAAGGCGGGGAAGGGAAGGGAGGGGTGAAGGGAAGGAAGGGGTGAAGGGAGGATGACGAGGGGACAAATGCAGAAGAGGAAAGGTATTGGGCTGGCTGGGGCAGGCGGGCATGGAGCCAGTGAAGTGGTTGTAGCTGAGGCGACTGGTGGGACAAGCGGGGAGAGGTAAAGGACAAGGTGCGCAGGGAGGAGAAGATGGAAACGCAAAAGAGGTTAGGCGTTGGGGCAGTGAGAAGTAACCCAGGGGTATTGTTACACATGCTGGTGATAACCATGTCATATGTGTCGCTGACTAGCAGTGGGCCACAGCAGACAGACACGGCCAACGGTAGTAGTGTCTCACTAGGAGATCTCGGCACTTAGTGTCGCATGGCGCATGTTGAACTTTAGTGTGCCATACTTACATCTCCCTCATATTCTTCATGGTGCAGACGAGACGACTGTGGGTCATGAGACGATCTTTGAGGCGCCTAAAAAATACAGGTTCTGTGGGCCATACTTACAGCTCCCGCAGGTTCTTCATGGTGCACACGACGGTGGGGAAGGAGGAGTTGAGCAAGTTGCTGGACACATAGCTGTTGCAGGCGAATGGGAGAGAAACAAGACAAGACCAAGGAACCCATGCAAGGGAAAGGAAGAGTAGTCGGAGGAGAAGATGACACAGCAGATATGACCAAGCTACGCACGGGACTTATGAGCGGATCAAAGCATGGCGAGGGCATCAAAGCAGACACTTTCAACCTGAAGCGCCCTTGACCCAGCGGTTTGACTCATCAAACAAACAAAAGCCGAGAACCAGATGAAGGATGAAGCTTGCCAGTCTCGCCACGGCCAAATGCGCTGTGCATTGACCTTTTGTGTTTTGAGCCGACTCAAAACACGCTGTGCATTGACCTTTCAGCCTGGTCATAAAGTCACAACTTGGATGGGGTTCAGGCATGCTAGGAACGCACAATTTTTGCATGTTGGTCAGCTGCGAGAAGGTGTCGGGCAGCCCGCCGGAAAAGTAGTTGAGGTTGAGGTGCCTGCGGCAGGTACAGATGAGGGCAGAGCAGCACAGGGCAGGAGAAAGGAGGAAGCAGAGGCGGGAGGTTGGCTTGTTGAGAGAGAGGGTGGATGATAGGAAGGAGGCGAGGGCAGAGGTTGTCATAGTGAATGTTGAGGTATAGCATTGCTGAAGGGTCCTCACATGCCATGCCACAAGATGTTTTGTTACAGCATGGATGGGTTGGCATGCCACGGCATGGCACGTCGCGACATGGCACGTTGCGGCATGGCACATTGCGGCATGGCACGTTGCGGCATGGCACGTCGCGGCATTGTGTGCTAGTGGAACGCGTGGTATGATATGGACATGGACAGGTATGGTAGTCCACATCGCATGGCATGAGATTGCATGGAATCGACCACCGTGTTACACGACAGCATGATGTGACGTTCAAAAGCGTGGCTCACAGCTGCACGAGGTTCTTCATGTTGCCCCATGAACTGGGGATGGGACCCTCAAAGTAGTTCTTGAACAGCTGCCTGCAGGTGGAAGGAGAGAAGGGGGAAGAGGGGAAGGGTGCGGGAGGGGTGTTGTGAGTGAGAGGGGACGGTGAGATGTGGGCATGTTGACCTATGAATCGAAAATGGGTGTCTCAAAATAGTTCTCAAACAGCTGCCTGCAACGCGATAAAAGTAGTGTTTTGAGATGTCTCAAAACACTGCTTTTATCGCGCATGTTGCTCCATGAATCGAAAATGGGTCTCTCAAATTAGTTCTTGAACTGCTGCCTGCAACGTGGAGATGAACCGAGCAGGACAGTGAGCCACGGAACGAACGAGAAAACGCACAGACGCGGGGATGGGACAACGGCTGGACAATGTAGGTGCATAGGGAAGGTAAGATAGGTGCATGTGTGTTGTCACGGGAGTACATGGGATGGGAAGGTATGTAGTACTTGAAGACTACATGGGATGGGAAGGTATGTAGTACTTGAAGAGTACATGGGAAGGGTATGTAGTACTTGGGAAGTACATGGGAAGGGTATGTAGTACTTGGGAAGTACATGGGAAGGGTATGTAGTACTTGGGAAGTACATGGGAAGGGTATGTAGTACTTGGGAAGTACATGGGAAGGGTATGTAGTACTTGGGAAGTACATGGGAAGGGTATGTAGTACTTGGGAAGTACATGGGAAGGGTATGTAGTACTTGGGAAGTACATGAGAAGGGTATGTAGTACTTGGGAAGTACATGGGAAGGGTATGTAGTACTTGGGAAGTACATGGGAAGGGTATGTAGTACTTGGGAAGTACATGGGAAGGGTATGTAATACTTGGGAAGTACATGGGAAGGGTATGTAATACTTGGGAAGTACATGGGAAGGGTATGTAATACTTGGGAAGTACATGGGAAGGGTATGTAGTACTTGGGAAGTACATGGGAAGGGTATGTAGTACTTGGGAAGTACATGAGAAGGGTATGTAGTACTTGGGAAGTACATGGGAAGGGTATGTAGTACTTGGGAAGTACATGGGAAGGGTATGTAGTACTTGGGAAGTACATGGGAAGGGTATGTAGTACTTGGGAAGTACATGGGAAGGGTATGTAGTACTTGGGAAGTACATGGGAAGGGTATGTAATACTTGGGAAGTACATGGGAAGGGTATGTAATACTTGGGAAGTACATGGGAAGGGTATGTGCGGACTGACAGGTTCCTGATGGCTGTGAGTCGACTGAACGAGTCGGGGAGGGATCCCTTAAACCAATTCGTGGTGGCAAAACTGGCATTGGCAAAAATAGAAGAGGGAGTGGGGGAAATGAAGGGAAAGAAGCGAGTGAGGCAAGAGGTAATAGGCGTAGATGTGCATATCCAAGGTCAGGAAACTGTATTTTGTCATACTTACCCCTCTTCCACACCTTGCCCATCCTCATCTTATCCCCAAAACTCCACCTCACTCTCAACACACCACTGCGTCTCCGTCTCCCATCCCCCCATCCCCCAGCCTCTCGCCTTTCCGTGCCCCTACTGTCACGGACAACTCATCGAGGCTGGTGAGGTTGCCGAGGACGGAGGGCAGGTTGCCCTGGATGGCCTTGGAGCTGATGTCCATGCGGCGCACGAGAGGAGAGAGCGTAGGGAAGGACTCTGGAGGCAGGCAGGCACGCAGGCGGGCGGGCGGGCGGGCAGGCAGGCAGGCAGGGAGGCAGGCAGGCAGGGAGGCAGGGAGACAGGCAGGCATGGAGACTCACAACTCATCGAGGCTGGTGAGGTTGCCGATGACGGAGGGCAGGTTGCCCTGGATGGCCTTGGAGCTGATGTCCATGCGGCGCACGAGCCCGTTGGTCCAGCACGTGATGAGCCACCACGACGAGCACGGGTTCGTCGCCGTCCACGACGTGAGGTTGATGTACGGCGTCAGTGCCGCCTTCAGCTCCATCATCGCCGGCACTGACGGGGGAGGGACACGTGGAGGAAGCGGGGTGGTGTGGGGGAGGTGGGGTGGGAGGAGAGGATTGGGGAGCTGCCTTCACACGTCTCACGACGTGAAGTTAACGTACGGCGTCAGTGCTGCTTTCAGCTCCATCATCGCCGGCACTGAGGGGGAGGGACGCGTGGAGGGAGCGGGGTGGGGGGGGGTGTTGGGAGGAGAGGTTTGGGGAGCTGCCTTCACACGTCTCACGACGTGAGGTTGATGTACGGCGTCAGTGCTGCCTTCAGCTCCATCATCGCCGGCACTTGGTGGGGAGGGACGGGCGGAGGGGCGCGGAGGGGGAAGGGGGGAAAGGGAAAGGAGGAAGGGGGGTGTGGGGGGGTAGGTGGGACGAGGAGATTGGGAAGCTAACTTCACACGCTTCACGGCATTGAGATTGATGAACGATCCGACGGCTGCCTTCAGCTCCATTATCGCGGGGACGCAATGAAGGAGAACTTTAGGAGAAATGCGGCTGAGCGGTGGTTCAGTCCACCTTCGACGAGCACCGCCGTTTCGATAACACCTCGGGACTACAGCTGGACGGTGGAACTCCAAACAGGTCTGAAGACGGCACAGTGTGATATCGGGATGTGGAAATGCGTGCAGACGACTCGACTGGCGACGAAATGTTGGAGCACATTGTGCTAGAATGTGACCGCAACGGGACGCTGATGGGATGCCGTGATGAGACGGGATGGTGCAATGGGACGCTCTGAGGGGGACGTGTGAAGTGACAGTGATGGGATTTTGCAATGTGACAGTGGGGAAGCGTTTCGAGAGGTAGCAGTTTCAGATGTTATGGGTGCTTACTCTGCGAAGGAGCTACGTAAATCACAGTCGTCTGAAGCTTGCGCGGGAGGGCAGCCGACGTCATGGAGGCTGACATCAATAGCGACAGGACTAGTAGAACGACAGACATAGCGGCTGCTTTCCCTGAATTCGGAAATACCAGGCTCATTGTGTTGATCAAGACGTGAGAAAGATTTCGTGCTAATCCACGAGATTCTGGAATATGGCCGGCTGCTAATCCACGAGAATCCGGAATATGGCCGGCTGCTGAAGTACGCTCGAATATAACTCAAAATGAGTTGATTAGCGGGGACAACAGATAAGGCGGAGCATGCTTTTTTTTTTTCACAAATGAGTGACCCAACTGCATCTGATGTATGATTCGAGCTGCTACTGAGACTGCTTGGCCCTGCTGTTGAGAGTTGACCTTGAACAACCTGACTCAGGGCGTATCCCTGGGTGGTGGCACGGCCACTGTAGATGGCAGAGTTGGTGGCATGCGGGAAAACCGCATGCCACCAACATTTTTACCGAGGCACGCGCGACTCGTATTTGGTGGCATTGAAGTGACATTTTTGGGACATTGCCCAATCACGCACCTGTATTCGCGCGCCAAATTTCCTGACACCAACCTGGCGTTTTATGTGTTCGTGGCAGGCTGCCATCTACAGTGGCCCTGCCACCACCCAGGGATACGCCCTCAGAAGCAGTAAGCTGGGGAAAAGAAGGAAGGGTGGGGGAGAATGCGGGGACCGCGTCTTGGCTCTGCAGCAGCTGGGAGGGGGGGGGGGGGGGGGGGGGGGGGAGGAGAGGTACCGCAATGACTCCCAAATTCCAGTCCAAGAGAGACCAAGCCTGCAAGTGACAGGCGAGTGAGGATGAGAGAGGGAGGGAAGGAGGCTGCCAGGGTGGGGAAAGTGCTTGTTGTGAGGGAGGCAGGGCTAGAGCGGCTGTTTTTCGTTACACATTTGCAGTAGGGGAGGGAGCTTGACCCTGCTCTGCAGCTTGACCCTGCTGTGCGCGCTACTTACAGAACACACACCAGGCTGGTTTTGTCTGTAACGGGACACCCTGAGCACCAGGTGAAAGCCTCCCATAGTAACGGACAGTTTTACGCAAGGTCGTGTACACGTAGATGCACGGGTGTATCCTGCTCCTTCTAAGATTAAAGTTTATTAGAAAACTAAATGCAAGTCAGTACCAGCCAAAACTGGGAATTTCACATTTCGTTGTAGGTAGTGTTTCCTGGAGCCCATGGTACTGTAATTGGGCTGCGTAACTCGGGTAGAGTGTTCGAGAAAGAACAAAATGTCCTGACTCCCGCCAGAAAGAGAAATGTGATAGCTTATTACGGTAAGCACTTCCTAAAAGCTCTGTGAGAAGGAACATCAACCGAATGCTCCACCACATTCGTCGCATTCATAACTTAAATATCATATTCGGTTGAGGCGAAAGATACCTCCTCACCGTATTTGTTGACTAGGGACTGATAGGCATCAGCCTGGCCTTCGTCGTAATCACCCATGGTGCCTGCACGTACAATGTAAGTCAATGTGAGTGCTCAGGAATAAGTAAGAACGAGTGTGCAACTGGGAACGGGAGGAGAAGTATGAAGGAGAAGAGATCAGCACCTGGTTTCCACATGACGAAGATACTGGCTCCGACTTCTTTCTCCGCGTTCAAGAACCGAACAGTGTAGGTGGGAAAGTCACCGCGCATGGACTTTCCAGTGATCAGCTTCGCACCAGAAACCGAGCTCAACAGCAGGTGGAAGTCCACATTCTCCTCTGACTTGATGACATTGGCGTACTCGCCTTTGCCAGGAAGAGTGTGATAAAAAAGTCCATCTAGGGTTGTGACTGATTCGAGAACGCCTAATCCAGTGTTAACAATCAGCCGGACCTGCAGTGTTATGTGGGGATGTACTTATATTAGCGAAGGACAAAGTGGCAAATGTGTACGAACAAACACACGCACCGTCACTGGACACTTGCCCTGCCGACGTTCTTCAAATCGCCTAGAAATTCCTTCAAGTTGGCTGTCGCTCCTGTGTCTGCATCGGAAGTGTCAGTTGAGGCAGAAGCCCTGACAGCGACCAGCTTGGACTGACTTCTGACGGAAACTTTGGTTTTTTTTACCACTCCCATGAAGGGACTAGCGCTTAATCGATGAGACCGAGCGATAGAAACAGCAGCAGTCGGAACCACAGCCGCCCATGATACGGTGGAGGCAGTGAGCGCCATGTGTAGTGAGTGGCTGGGCAAAATGAGGTCCGCAACTGTGCCTGGAAAATGTGACCTAGGATGGCTGTATCGGTTGTCACAAATTGTGCCTACGCCTGTTGTGTCATGGCAGTCCCGTGGGCAGCAAGCTTCATCAGCACTCACGACCATCGCGAAAGTCGTGAATTCGTTTTCAGGGTAACAGCGTTGAAATGTTCGCCAAACACAGCACGGCGACAACATTCACAACAATTACGAACCAGCTTGCTCTGGGGAAGGAGGTTGGGGGATGGTTACTGCAAATTGGTTCGGATATCTCAAACCATCACTTTACCGAATCTACCTGGCAGAGCTACATTATCGCTAGCCTGCGTGGCCAGCGATCGAGCCTGCTGTCTTCTTCTCCCAAACCCGCCGTGGAAAAGTTAGCCACAAGATCATGCATACGTGGAGGGCATCTACTCAAAGTAGCTTCGCGTCCCCCTCCATGCCCCCAACACGTGACTGGTCAGTGTTGCCTCACCCTCCCTTCTGTGCCTCGACTCCCTCCCCTTCCTTTACTGACTCGTTCCAGAAGTCTCGGTTTCTTGGGAGCCCAGGAAACCACTTTCTGCTAGATCTGAGAGCTCAGACTTCCAGGCAGGCATTGCAGAGTAGACTTTACGCACATCAGATTGCTGGCGTAATGGCTGCCATTGCTCAGTCTGCCATTTCTGGCGCGATTTGCGCTCCCGCAGTCGCGTCAGTTGAGGTGTCTGGCAGGACCAGCATTGTCTCCTTCAATGGCCTGAAGGCGACCTCACTCCGCCAGTCTGTGAAGGCATCCCTCTCGCAACGTGTGTCCTCTAAGCGCTCTTCCCGCGTTGTGTGCGAAGCCACCGGCACCGAAGGTTCGTTAATTAATTTTAAGGGCATTTGTACGGCTCGTTGATGCCCCCGTGTCGATTGGCTAATTTTGTTCTGTTTTCTTCGTCTGCAGTCGCGGGCCCCGTGACCGATGCGACGTTCAAGAACCTCGTTCTGGAGAGCAATGTCCCAGTCCTGATCGACTTCTGGGCTCCATGGTGCGGCCCTTGCAGAATGATTGCTCCTCTCATTGATGAGCTCGCGAAGGAGTATAACGGAAAGCTGAAGTGCTACAAGCTGAACACCGACGAGAGCCCCAACGTGGCCACAGAGTACGGAATCCGCAGCATTCCCACTGTGATGATCTTCAAAAAGGGGAAGAAGGTCGACACTGTGATTGGTGCTGTTCCTAAGTCCACCCTCACAGCCACCATTGATAAGTACTTGTAAGCTCGCGACCGTGAGGTTCTGCGACTTATTTGTTCAGCTATGTGGATGTTAACCTGTGAATTTTTTTTCAGTATCTAGCAAAGTCCACACCAATTGTGTGTGGGTGCACGTCCAGGGGTTGTCGTTTCAAAGCTCAAATCCATTGTAGGGTAAAGCTATCGCTTTTGGTACGCTGCTAAATCCATCTAGAGTCATACCCATATGGAATTTTTGAAAGTTGCAATACTGTTCACAGCATGTACTGCATTGACAAGAGCACTACTGGTATGTTTTACACATCCATTTAATCATTCAATAATGATCCCTATCAAATACAACAAATGTAACAAATATGGATGATGAACTACAGCCAGTTTCTGCACCAGCATTATCCATACAACCGCATCATGCCATGAGGAATAATTCCTTGCAGCATGAAAAAAAGGCATGCTAGCAGAGCAAAAACAAAAATAATTGCAAGCGGGAAAGGTTGCAGCTTGAGAAACGAGGCACTGCGAGCGGTCATCCCATGCTAGGCGTCCGCCGGCTTCCCCTGCGACCATTTCCGGCAAATGATTTGAAGTGCTCAGCCAACTTCGGGGAGGGAGGCCTCCTTCCACTGGCGATCGACATTGCTGGCTCAGTGTAACTGCTGCTCCGAGCTGAAGTCACGATACCAGCCACAGGGGACGAGTAGAAGCTCCTCTCTGCATGGTTACTGCTCCCTTCAACGTATCTTGCGACGCTGGGGATGCCAAGTTGCGAGTTCGGCGAATAAGCGGGCGACAGTCGCACATTATCCGGAATCGTCGCGGAAGTCAGGTCCGCAAAGGAGTGGGAGCGGCCTCGCATGTTGGAACGCGGCTTGATACCCGCGAATTGCTCCGCAATGTTGGCTTTCGGCGCTCGAGGAGGTTGTCCGTATAGAATGGCGCTAGACGACAATCGCCTCTGATGGCGGGGATCCTTCGCGGTGAGTCCGTTAATTCCGCCGGAAAGTCGCTCGATTTGGTCGATTCGATCGACGCTGGTGATTCCCCGAGCGTACGAGCGCACCGCGGAAGACAGGCTTCCCTCAAAACCCGTCGCGATTGGCGTTGGAGACGCGGCGAAACGGAAGCTGACCTGCGGCGAGTCGAGCTGGGCCATTGGTGGTGAGGGGGAGAGACCGCCTCCGGTAGTTTGCGCGCTCGAAGTTGTCGGCGGGGGCGTCGGCGGAAGCATGAGGCCGAGAAGCAACCATTGCGCAGCATTCTCGTGGGAAGCGGGGGTGCTGTGGGACCTCGGGGGTAAGGATGGCATCTGCGGACTGGTGGCGCATTCGACGGACGTTGCTGATGGAAATAGCGCTCCGGTGGTGGTAGGAGCAGGAGGCATGAGTTTGGAGTAGCGCTGCACCGCGGATAAGATCGCCCAGGAGAGCTGAGCGGCTGGCGGAAGGCACGCGCACGCCGCGTTGGCGCTAGAAATCGCCATAGCCAGGAACAGCTCAAGAGCCTGGTCGCGAAATTGAACGAGGTTGAGGCGTCTGCGGTTGGGAGGATGGCCGCGTGGAAACTGATATGAAGACTGATGGGGGTCACTGGAGTTGATGAGAATGGGAATGAGGCATGTGATGAGAATTGTGACAGTGCCGACCTATTTGAAGTCGGTCAGTCCTACCTTGTGGACTGCAGTTGGTTGGTGGTGGCCGCAATGGATGGGGGGGGGCCGGGGGTAAGCCGAAAGTGATGGGAAAACGTGTCCAGGTGTACTGTACACGAGACGAGAAAAGACGAAATGCAACGAGAGGAGATGATTGGGATGGGATGGGATTGACGGGGGGGAGAAGGCGAAGGGGGCAGGTGAGGTGATCAGAGACGAAAGTGAGAAAAGGAAGAGGAAGAGCAGAACGGGGAGGGAGGCCAGAGAGAAGACCCTTGGCTGGAAGCGACAAATTACATGGGCACACACCACCACACGGGGGAAATAAAGCAAATGCTCGTGTCAGCTGACTTTCCTCACGTGCGACTATTTCCTTCCTCTGATCATGTCGCACCGTGGCCAGCAAAGATCTTCGCCTGCCGTGTTCTTAGAGGACTTGCGACTTCACGCGAAAACTTGACGAAGGCAAGACACTGTAGCAAATGTGGATTAAGCATGCGACTGCAAGTTCCACGCGGATAAAAAGGTGCGCTGGGCAGTCATTGTGCGAAGGTTGCATCCCACTGGCTGAACATAATTGAAACACGTCAACGCATGTGACGGAAACAGAGCCCGGCAATCAGCCGCAATTTTTGTAGAACTGTTTCACCGGGTTTAGCACCCTCGCCTCATTACAGATGAAGAGGAAAACATTTGCAGGGTGTATCGTACGGAAAGTTTCAAGAATTTTGTTGTTCCTCTCGATGGCCAAGTCATCCAAGCCCTAGAAGCTCATAGGGATATGATGAGTGGAAGAAATTTGCAGTATGGATTCTCAAGTTGAAGCGCTCATCTCGTTTCAGTGACACAGAGAAGTGACTTTTGGTGTGAGAAGGGGGGAGGGGTCTTTTGGTCTTCTGGGCTTTTGAGAGAATTCAAGAGGAAATCCAGCCCCCCTACACAAACAGACCCAATGTTATTGCTCTTTCAGGTGTCCTGGCTGTCGTAACTGCAGTTACTGCCCCAGTCACAGCAGCACATATGTGGCTTAGGTGTTTGTACAGCATTTGGTACTCCTGACAATTCTTGTACCGCGTCTCCCACACGCAGTGAGAACAATGTTTCTTGTCAGACCCTGCCATTCTGTTCATGAAAGAGGTTTGCCTGTCTCCGGGTGTGCTTTGTGTGCAGTGCATGGTTGGGGATGCCCTGCACTTCCAATTTCGCCCCTGCATTGTAGTTTTTGTCTGGCTCCTCCTCACCAGTCTTTTATACCCATCATGCCCCTGATGCCAGCTCCACCTCACTCTCACTCAAGGCCTTGGCCTCTAGCTGCCAAGTCCCCAGCATGCCACAGCACAGGATCATCATCTCATGGAAGAGCACCTGCAGAGGACTCTCTCTCCTGCTTGGGTGTTTGCTTGTGCCCACGCATGCACCTTCAAGGCAGCCCCCACCCCCCGCCCTCCTATTCTACAACCGCAGGCCCACACCACCACAGCACAGCGCAACACACCTAAGCACAGCCAAACACAACTAATCACAACGAAGCACACCTAAGCACAGCCAAGAACAGTAAAGGACAGCAGCGGCCCATCTTGAGGTCTTCATGCGGTTCCACATGTTGTCTACCTCGCCACAGAAGAGCCACTTAAGAACTGCCAGTGGGACAACAGTAGGACACGTAAGAAAGGGGAGGACAGAGACTCGGGAGGCACTTAGAAGCTGCAAACGCCGACACCAACGGGACATGGAGAGGGGACATCAATGGGAATTGGAGAGAGGAGAAATGCAAGGGCACCATAGAAACAAGATAGGGTACAAGAAGAGGGAAAGACGAGCAACATGAGGGGAAGCAAGCAGGGAAAAAAGTAAGACATCATAGAGAGCCAAACAGTATGAAGCAACCAGCACAGAGAGAGACCTTGGAAGCATTGGGGTAAGCTGTACTCACCCTTCCATTGCTGCAGCCGCACCCACTGCAGTGGCCTTTGATGCTGCCACCACTGCTGCAACCACTGCTGCCACCACTGCTGGTGCTGCTGCCACCGCTGATGCCCATACTGCTGGTACTGGATAGCAGGACTTAGTGCTCTGGTGAGGGAAGAGAGGAGAACAGAGAAGAGGAGAGGGCGGGAAAGGAGGGGAATGAGATCTGAGCAGAGTAGCAACACAGCATCAAAGACACACGCGCACCGTGGAAGAATGGTAAACAAGACTTACTGGCACATAAAAAGTAGGTAAGTGGTGAAGGGAGAAGTGGTGTGCTACTTGATCTGAACCACCCACAACTTGGTGAGTGCTTGCCATCATCCTTGCGTTGCTGCAGCCACTGGTGATCCCTGCGTTGCTGCAGCGACTGTCCCCTTGAGTGCTGGAGAGAGGGGGCGAAGGATGGCAAGGAAGGAAAGAGAGAAGCGAGTGGATGAGAGGGTGAGATTGTGCCAGAAGAGATGGCAGGTGGCAGATGAAGAAGGCACAGAGACAACAAGCAACGCATGGTGCTTGCAGGGAGGTGTCTTGAACGAGAGACAGCCACACAGAAGCGGCGCAACAAGGGACGATCAGAAGCAGCAGGAGGGGAGTTGCGGAGGTAGAAAGCAAGACTCTCGCCTCTGCGTGGCGACGCCCTACGACTAACTTCACTGCCCCCCAGCAAGCACCCCCTGGCGCGTACCACACTGTGTCCGCTGCTCTGCCACTCCTGCGCCACGCCTTTTCTTCACGCCTGCTGCTCCAAGTTGCTCCGTTGCTCCGGCTGCCCATGCTCGCAGGCCGTAAGGCACACACACACACGCATGGGGAGAGAGAGAGACACGCACACAGAAGCGGGAACAACAAGGGAGGGTTAGAAATAGCAGGAGGGGAGTGGCGGAATAAAAAAGCAAGAGACACGACTCTTGCCTCTGCGCGGCGACGCCCTACGACTAAATTCATTGCCCCCCTGCAAGCACTCCCTGGCACGTACCACACTCTGTCCGCTGCTCTGCCACTCCTGCACCACGCCTTCCCTTCACGCCTGCTGCTCCACGTTGCTCCAGCTTGCTCCGTTGCCCCGGCTGCCCATGCTCGCAGGCCGTGAGGCACACACACACACACATGGGGAGAGAGACACGCACACAGAAGCGGCACCAACAAGTGAGGGTTAGAAACAGCAGGAGAGGAGAGGCGGAGGCAAAAGAAAGAGACATGACACTTGCCTCTGCGCGGCGACACTCTACGACTCACTACACTCCCCCCTGCAAGCACCCGCAGGCGCGTACCACACTCTGTCCGCTGCTCTGCCACTCCTGCACCACGCCTTCCCTTCACGCCTGCTGCTCCAAGTTGCTCCAGGTTGCTCCGTTGCTCCGGCTGCCCATGCTCGCAGGCCGTGAGGCACACACACACACGCATGGGGAGAGAGAGAGAGACACGCACACAGAAGCGGCAACAACAAGGGAGGGTTAGAAATAGCAGGAAATGAGCGGCGGAATCAAAAAGCAAGAGACACGACTCGTGCCTCTGCGCGGCGACGCTCTACGACTCACTACACTCCCCCCTGCAAGCACCCCCTGGCACGTACCACACTCTGTCCGTCGCTCTGCCTTCTGCGCCCCTCCTTTGCTTCAGTCATGCTGCTCCAAGTTGCTCGCTTGCTGCTGCTGCCCATACTTGCAAGCCAAGAGACACAAACACGCATGGGGAGGGAGACACGCACACAGAAGCGGGGAAACACGGGAGGGTCAGAAGTAGAAGGAGGCGAGTGATGGCGGCAAAAGCAAGATACGCGACTGTTGCCTCTGTGCGGCGACGCCCTACGACTCACTTCACTGCCCCCCTGCAAGCACCCCCTGGCACGTACCACGCTCCGTCTGCTGCTCTCCCTTCTGCGCCTCTCCTTCACTTCAGGAGCCCGTGCTCCAGGTTGCTCGGTAGATGCTGCTGCAGTCGTCGCTCTCGTCGCGACCACCACTGCGTCGTCGCTCTCGTCGCGACCACAACTGCGTCGTCGCTCTCGTCGCGACCACCTCTGCGTCGTCGCTCTCGTCGCGACCACCTCTGCGTCGTCGCTCTCGTCGCGACCACCTCTGTGTCGTCGCTCTCGCCGCGACCACCACTGCGTCGTTGCCTTGACGCTCCTGAAACGCACTGACGCTGCACACTGAAGCATCACACGTCCACCCACGCAGAGGCTTACATTGCAGGCAATGAGAGGGAGTCACTCGCATACACTCGCATGCATTCCATGACATGACAGACACAGAGACAAGCAGCACTTGTTGGTTAGTTACCGTAGGAATCGCGAGCGACTAAGGCAAGAAAAAGTGGACTGGGACCCAGGCTGACGGCGCTTACTCTCCTCTAATCTGCTCGGCCCCCGAGAATCTATTTTCATCGCACTTACAAGGTCAGCCCGATCTGCAATCCTCGTGTGATTGCGGAAACAGAAGCTCCGTCGCTTTGATGGCGGAAAACGGCAGTACCGTAGAATTGAAGACGGAAACAACCGCGACGTCGCTTTGACCACGGAGAACTTTCTGCGCCGTTTCTTTCCCGGCGAAAACGAAAGTAACTTTGTGGTGTCAGCGGAAACAGCCGCGCCGTCGATTCGGAGCTGGAAACGGCGGAAACGGCAGTAGCGTTGTGTTTTCAGCAGAAACAGCGGGAAAGTCGTTTCCACCGGGAAAATAGCGGAAACGTTGCATCCACGACGAAAACGCTAGTGCTGTTGCATCGACGGAAGGAACAGTTGTCGGCGGAAGCAGCAGAGAAGCTTTGACGCGTAAAGCAGCGATATCGTTGCTTTTTTGGCCGGAACAAGCAGCTAAGCTTCAAAAGTTACAGCAGCGACGACGTTGCTTTTCGACGTTGCTTACTGGCTATAGCAGATGAGATATCGGCTACGTCACTAATCTTGCTCCGACGACGGAAGCAGCGGCGGCGTTGCATTGGCGGAGTGAGGTCGCTTGACGGCTTGCGATCCGTTCCTACTGGAACGCCGTCTAAAGTAGCATCTTAACGTCGTACCCGCCTTCAACTTGGTATCTGATCCATTGTATCTGACGTACAATACCTTCTTAAACTAAAATCCCTATCAGCCACGATCTTGACAACGTCCTAACTACAATTAACTTAAAATCCCATTTCTACGGTTATCGACTGCCAGACAGAGTCGAGGCTAATCGGCTTTGAGCGACTTAAGGTTAGTGCAGGCATTCGGTGAACTAGGGTCTACTCCAACGGCAGGTCGCATAGCTGGACCTAAAGCTCAGAGCGGAGATAAGGAGACGGCAGCCTAAAAGATAGCACTGTGGTGGAGCAAGGGAAGCGAAGAATGGAAGCGAGGTGAGCATTCCAAGGAGAAAGCAAGGAAACTCCTTTCCCCCACAGAGAGGCACGGGAATATCCTCCGTCAATGTTTCAGCGGGAAGGCGGCTGATGAGCGGCAGAATTTCGCCAACTTCCGTCCCCCCCATGCCAATTCATGTGGGCGAGCACGAGCCAGAATGGATGAGGAGGTTCGCTCAGATCATCGAAGCGAAGCGGGGATTGGCTGGCCGACGCGGTTACCAGATCAGTCAGAGTGTAGTTTGAAGCTTTCGGAGGAAAACTGGAGGTTTGGTGTGAGATTCGATGAGGTTCGGAAGGCAGGTTATGGTTGAATGAAGTGCTTCCCCACTGACACCATGAGCGAATCCTCGCTGTTTTATGAACCGATACCAGAACACGTTTACCAGGAGAAGTGCATTGAACGTGGCACTGCAAAATCTACTCGGACCCACAATGTTGTCAAACAAATTTACTCACGTGCAACTCGCTCTTCTACACCCTTTTAACAAGCTTGTACATAGTAGTGGTGGCTCATGTAACGCGAGTTTCTTCCACATCAAGCCATCTTGAAAGTCGTGACGGCTCTCTGGAAGTTTCGCCGACGCGATTGGGCCTCACGTTCGTGCAAAGTGTGACGGTCTTGACATGCCGTCCTGGTTAGTATTTTGTTTTGCCCGCTGTCAGTTTTGCTTGCGTGGATCCAGCTGGCAGCTGAATGAACCGAAGGAGGGCCGTCTGTGGGGTGTGTGATGTGAATCCCTCCTCTTCCTCCAGAGCGACGCGACGCATTGGTACTAATGCGACGTCCATGTGCGCTCCCTCTCCACCTCATCACAATCCCTAATCTCTTGCACGTGCAAATGCACGTTTCGGTGTCCCCCCCAACTTCGAAGCCGGGCGGGTGGGACACGCCCACAGCCTCGTGGGCAGGCAACGTGCGGATAAGGGAATCCTGTACACGTGTGGCAGTTTCCCTATCAAACCACTCTGGCGATTGTACTGGACTGTATCCTTGGTACATAGTAGGTAGGGCTAGAATCCATCAGGCAGTTCACTTCAACAAGTTCTATCTTTTGTCGCCTCATCTCATGAGCGGCAGTACAAGTGCGCGAGCTTTCTGTGACGGACCGAAGTGAAGGCCTTCTCTTCTGTCTCAGCATTGCTCTGCACTTGATCCGCGCGTAGCCATTTCGTCATCCAAATCAGATTACAGTGATGAAATTCGTGGTTCCGGTGTCGGATGACAGCTTCCAGCATTTCGTTCTGAATGTTCGGCAGTTAGTCTTGGTTGGCTTTTTCAAGCCGGGTTGCGGGGAATCCGACGATCTTGCTCAGATCCTCGGTAATGTCGCGGGCAACGTCCAAGATAACGGTGGAGATGTCAACTTCTACTCGGTGGACACGGATGAGTTTCCCAACTTGGGCCCGAAGCATGGAGCGGATTATACGCCTACAATTGTATGTTTCAAGAATGGGAAAGCTATCCATACCTTCCCTGGTGGGTCGGACCAGCAGTATATTCAGGCTTGGGTTGAGGAGCACTCATGAGCGGATTGGGTTGGGTTGACCTCGCATGAGGCTGTCTGTCATTTCTCCTCTCAAATTTCGAGCCCATGCTGGGCAAAGTATCTTTTGTTTAAAGCTCAAGGCCCAAATTGCACAACAACAGTAATCTTGATGGGGGGGGATGAGCCTGGCGAGAGACTTCCAAGGGGAAGGGTGTTGGAAGTGGGGTACCGCATGAGCGAAATTGGCGATTTTGGGGGTGGCGAAAGCTTGTTGTCCGCAGCTGAATGATACCCAATCACAGTGAAGAACCAGTTTGTGGTAAAAAACATAACACAAGTTTGGCGTACCAACCACCACACTTCGGACACAACCCTAGGTACGCCTTGTACACAAACCAATTCGACACACCACTCCCACACCCACCTGCTGAATAAAAAAAGCGGAGAAAACACTATTATCATGCCGCATTCAACTCGCCGATAACAGACAAGCACCCAGAACATCTAGGTCTTAGAGGACAGAGTACATAAGCATTTGCCAGGGTTGAAAAGGGTAGCTAATGCGCAACTTGCGCCATAAACGCAGGTCCCATCGAACAAAGCGCGCCCCACGTAGTATATGGCAGAGCGCACCCGTGCGCCTCTCAGCTGAAACTCCCGCACGGTCGCATTGCTCTTGATTAGGGTCTCCATGCAGCGCCATTACGCATCACTAAGGACGCGCGAAAACGGAGCGTAAGAGGTTGGTTTAGCAGTCGTTGTAGGAAGGAGCAAGGCGTGAACCACCTGTACACGGAGCAGCATAGTTTAAATACAGTTGCCACCCAAATCCGCAGCACCGATGGCTCGTCGGCGTCAAAAAAACATCTCAGGCAGGTCCGTATTGGAGCATGCATCACCAATCACGCACCATGCCAGTGAAGTAAGCACCTTCGGTCGGATTTGGAAATGGTCCCATACCCCCCCACATGGCATAACACCATGCCAGTGCATTGGCACATTTGTCACTCTTGAGAGGTACAGGCACACTGCGCCACGGCGCTCCCACCGCCATGCTCTAATATCTGGATAGAGTGACGCTTTCGCCTCTCACAAAAGGCACAATCCTCTTGGGCTTCTCTGCCCTGAGCTTCCCCTGCCCTGAGCTTCCCCTGCCCTGAGCTTCCCCTGCCCTGAGCTTCCCCTGCCCTGAGGTTCCCCTGCCTTGGGCTTCCCTGCCCTGGGCTTACCTGCCCTGGGCTTACCTGCCCTGGGCTTTCCTGCCCTGTGCTTCCCTACCTGAGCTTCCCCGCCTTGGGCTTCCATGCCCTGGGCTTCCCTGCCCTGGGCTTCCCTCCCTTGGGCTTCCCTGCCCTGGGCATTTTGAGGCCTGAGCTTCCATGCCCTGGGCTTCCCTGCCCTGGGCTTCCCTGGCCTAGGCTTACCTGCCTGAGCTTACCCGCCCTGGGCTTCCCTGGCTTGGGCTTCCCTGCCCTGAGCTGACCCGCCTTGGGCTTACCTGCCTTGGGCTTACCTGCCCTGGGCTTCCCTGCCCTGGGCTTTCCTGCCTTGTGCTTCCCTACCTGAGCTTCCCCGCCCTGGGCTTCCCTGGCTTGGGCTTCCCTGCCCTGAGCTGACCCGCCTTGGGCTTACCTGCCCTGGGCTTTCCTGCCCTGGGATTCCCTACCTGAGCTTCCCCGCCTTGGGCTTCCATGCCCTGGGCTTCCCTGCCCTGGGCTTCTTTCCTTTGGGCTTCCCTGCCCTGGGCATTTTGAGGCCTGAGCTTCCATGCCCTGGGCTTCCCTGCCCTGGGCTTCCCTGGCCTAGGCTTACCTGCCTGAGCTTACCCGCCCTGGGCTTCCCTGGCTTGGGCTTCCCTGCCCTGAGCTGACCCGCCTTGGGCTTACCTGCCCTGGGCTTTCCTGCCCTGGGCTTCCCTACCTGAGCTTCCCCGCCTTGGGCTTCCATGCCCTGGGCTTCCCTGCCCTGGGCTTCTTTCCTTTGGGCTTCCCTGCCCTAAGCTGATCCGCCTTGGGCTTTCCTGCCTTGGGCTTACCTGCCCTGGGCTTCCCTGCCCTGGGCTTTCCTGCCTTGTGCTTCCCTACCTGAGCTTCCCCGCCCTGGGCTTCCCTGCCCTGGGCTTCCCTCCCTTGGGCTTCCCTGCCCTGGGCTTCCCTCCCTTGGGCTTCCCTGCCCTGGGCATTTCGAGGCCTGAGCTTCCATGCCCTGGGCTTCCCTGCCCTGGGCTTCCCTGCCCTGGGCTTCCCTGCCCTGGGCTTCCCTGGCCTAGGCTTACCTGCCTGAGCTTACCCGCCCTGGGCTTCCCCGCCTTGGGCTTCCATGCCCTGGGCTTCCCCGCCTTGGGCTTCCATGCCCTGGGCTTCCCTGGCTTGGGCTTCCCTTCCCTGAGCTGACCCGCCTTGGGCTTACCTGCCCTGGGTTTTCCTGCCCTGTGCTTCCCTACCTGAGCTTCCCCGCCTTGGGCTTCCATGCCCTGGGCTTCCCTGCCCTGGGCTTCCCTCCCTTGGGCTTCCCTGCCCTGGGCATTTTGAGGCCTGAGCTTCCATGCCCTGGGCTTCCCTGCCCTGGGCTTCCCTGGCCTAGGCTTACCTGCCTGAGCTTACCCGCCCTGGGCTTCCCTGGCTTGGGCTTCCCTGCCCTGAGCTGACCCGCCTTGGGCTTCCCTGCCTTGGGCTTACCTGCCCTGGGCTTCCCTGCCCTGGGCTTTCCTGCCTTGTGCTTCCCTACCTGAGCTTCCCCGCCCTGGGCTTTTCTGCCCTGGGCTTCCCTCCCTTGGGCTTCCCTGCCCTGGGCATTTTGAGGCCTGAGCTTCCATGCCCTGGGCTTCCCTGCCCTGGGCTTCCCTGGCCTAGGCTTACCTGCCTGAGCTTACCCGCCCTGGGCTTCCCTGGCTTGGGCTTCCCTGCCCTGAGCTGACCCGCCTTGGGCTTACCCGCCCTGGGCTTCCCTGCCCTGGGCTTCCCTGCCCTGGGCTTCCCTGCCCTGTGCTTCCCTGCCTGAGCTTACCCGCCTTGGGCTTCCCTGCCGTAGGCATTCATTCCAGCACACATTCACAGACTTTTTTGCACACCCCAACCCCCCCCCTCCCCCTGCCCTCCCTCTATCGCAGGCTCACAAATGATGTGGCCCCGGACGGGGACCATCCGGCGAAAGAGCTCAGCAAGGAGCATGACAAGCCTATGCACGGAATATCAAAGCATATGCGCCCTGTCATATGCCTCCAGCGGTGCGGGTTGTCGGCACTGATGGGAGGCGAGAACGTTGCGACGACTGCAGATGTTCTCTACTACTTTATGATGAATGCTCCGGCTGCATGCAAACGGCTTATGCGGGCAGCAAAAGAAGCTGGTGAATGTTTATGGATAGTGGGAACGCGTGGTGATTGCTGTTGCATGTGCGCTAATAATCAGGGGTTTGTACATCCTCATACAACGATCGTGCAACCAAGCTGCATTTTATCCACGTGAATCCCCATCCAGGTGCGAATGGGGCGAATGCGGTAGCGACGGCAGAGCTATATCTGGAGTCATACGGGCGTCAGTTTGATTCGCGGGCGAACGATGGTGTGAACGCGGTGACCACGATAATGGGGAAGGCTGATCGTGAACTCAAGGGGCTCGTATACGACTTCCCTGCCTACAAGGAGGATCATCGCGGACGATTACGCCCCGTTGCTGGAAATGGGTGGGGTGGGCCCCGGAAAGGCAAGGCGTTCGAGGAAATGCGCACACAAGGTGAGATATGGAATGGGGATGAAAGGTTAGTAAGCCGTTTTAACCATACATCCAGCCAAGAAAACATGCACAAAACTCGAGGAAGCGGAAACCCCATACCAATCTCGTGAAAAAAAACAGTGAGTACTCGCCTTGTGTGATATGCACGCAGGGGATGCAGATGGTGGGGCTGTGGAACTCGACAGCGTCCCCATCCCGACGGTGGGATCGGCGTGCACAATTGCAGAGGGAGGTGACCGTCATGTGGGACCAACACATCAAGAAGATGCAGTGTTAGATCACAATGAAAGGTTGGAGTGTGTTATTATACTCAAGATTCTGAAATCTTTGCGAGCATCCCACGGAATTTTGCTTGTTTACCTTGGGCAAGCATTGGGGAGATAGTTTGCTGATATGGTGGGGAACAGAGTAGCTAGCATTACAGAAACAAGTGCCATCCTTCTCCCCTTCGGGTGTTGCCGCCTTCTCTTTTTTGTTTAGTAACTCTCCATCCCTACCCATCCATTTTCGTCACTGACCTTTGCTGGCCCAACCAACAACAGGACGACAACTCGAGACAAAACAACCAGCAAGAGGCCAAAACCAGTTCCACGTGGGTGGTCAGCCGCTCCAAGCATCACGGATGTGCCTGAGTACACGGTATGCCTTCTACAACCGAAGCACTTGCTCGAAACGGTGGGATCACTACAGATTTGTTGCACACGAGCGGGCTGTTCTGGGAGTATGGCACTCGTGTCGTGGAAAATAGCATGGGCCTGTTTCGGACTTTATTGGCACTGTAACACGTGCACAAGCGGCAGGGAAGTATGGTCAAGTCCGAAAAAGGAGCACACATCAAATAGGAGAAAGACCGGGCCAAGGACGTCAAAGCTCATGCCCAGGTTCGTCGGTGCCTTCGCCCTTGCGGGGGTAGGATTTCAAGTGATGTGGGAAGTTTGTCGCAATCTTGGACTTCCGAATCCGGGCAAGGGAACATTCTATCGTTTGCTGCAGGGTGAAGATGGTTTATGGAATGCCATTATTCGTGCTGCACAGAACTCGATGGGGGACGTGCGTACCACTTTATCCAAGAGAGTGGGTGGCGTGGGTTACATCAGTGTTGATGGCAGATGGTCACAAGCGCGAGAGGCAGAGTGGTGTACTGTGTCCTTCCTCCATCCTGAAAGTAGGAAGATCTTGCATGTAGAGACCACAAAACTTGACGTCGATGATGACTCCGCACCGAGGCTCGAAAGTGTAGGATTCAAAAGGGGGATGGACTTCCTCAAGGAGCAGGGGTTTGAGATAGAGGGGATTGTTACCGATGAGGGTAGCACCTTTCGAGGTGCTGCTGTAGAAAGAGGAATCCGTCATCAGATTGACTGGTGGCATAAAAGACGATCGGTGGTGAAAAGATTTGAAAACGAGCTGCAGAACCTTGTTAGAAAAGTGGTGGATATTGATAACGCTGAGACTGTTGAGGACCTTCACATGCACACCTTGAAGAAGTTGAAGGCTTGGTTACTAAAGAAGGCTCCAAGCAAAGCGGAGGGCAAAACGGGAAAGGATGGGTTCATCGAGACAGTTTGCAGTGAGCTCAGTATTGTTTATCGTTATGTGAAACCGGCCGATGCAAAATGGATGCATCTGGAATTGCAGCAGGTGACGTGCGCCAAAGGGTTGCACGAGGCTAGTCGTGGGCCAGAGCCACATAGGAGCGAAGAGGATGGAGAGGATAATGAAACGGTTGACATACCGGTTATGCTCTCATTGATACATGAACATGGCGTGCCTGCGCATGAGGGAACGGGAGATGGTGGTGATGCGGTTGAGATGCTGGAGGGTCCAGTGTCAGTAGAAGTTTGTTGGCGGGATGTGGAGGAGCTGTGGGGGTACGACATCCACCCTGAGCATGGGTTGCGTCCCTCATCACAAGCGTCTCTGGTGGTCGCACTCGCTTGCAATGGCGCTTGCGCTGATACGGATTTCTTGGGAGAACCAATCGATCAAGCACCACCAACGACCCCTCAGACAGGTACATTATCTAATCATCATAGCCACTCTTCTCGTTCATACTATCCCCAATGCACCACCCACTTCATTACCACATCACCACACCCCCTTGCTGTTTTTGCTCACTCCATTACCACATCACCGTATCCCCACTGTTTATCATTCCATTACCATATCACCACATCTCTCAGTGTTATTTATCATTCCATTCCAATTCATCACACCACCCACTGTTTTTGCTCACTCCATTATCAAATCACCACACCCCTCTACCGTTCTTGCTCACTATATTACCACATCCCCACACCACCCACTGTTTATGCTCATTTCATTACCATATCACCACACACCCTTCAATGGTTTCTATCATTCCAATACCAATTCATCACACCACCCACTGTGTTTGCTCACTCCAATATCACAGCAGCACACCCCCCTATTGTTTTTGCTCACTCTATCACTCCCTCACCACACCCTCCATTGTGTTTGCTCACTCCATTACCACATCACTACACCCCCCTCTGTTTATGCCCACTATTCAACCACCTCACCACACCACCCACCGTTTATGATGATGCCATTACCGATTTGCAACACCACCTACTGTTTTTGCTCACTCCATTACCATATCACCATACCCCTCAATGTGTATGGTACTCCATTACCATATCACCACACCACCAGCTCAAGTCACTATAACATATCGTCACATTCTTCTACATTTGTGACAACTTGCAGGAAGCCAACCCAAAGTTTCCGTCGATGGCTGCAATGAGACGCGACGGTGGCACCCACGTAGCAATAAGAAACGGGCACGCGGCACTGGAAACGAAGTCAACGTCGCTAGAGAGAGTGGCGGAAGCAGAAGGTTGGAATATTCGGTTGCACAACGCGTCAGCGTGCATTTCAGGCATGTTATGATGCGCTGTGCAGTGAAGGCGCGCGAAGGGGATGCGATGACAAAGGAGGAGGTGTCAGAGGAGTTAGGACTGGCGGCAGATCACTTTGCAGGTGATCATTCACGCTGCCAACGAGCGGGGATCACACCTCCACGTTGTGTTTCAGAGGGATGGGGGGAGGAGAGTGCCGTGTATGCGGTTGGTTCACCAACCCACCTGGCTGTTCGCGAGTGGTTCAAGACGCGACTAGGGCCAACACAAGTGGAACCATTCATCCGTGGCGCGAATAGTTCACTGAATGAGTCATTTCACTCTCTGATTTGCAAGTATGCACCCAAGAGGCTGCGATTCAGGGGCAGCATGAAGGCACGCATAGCCTTGGCAGTGCTGCATTGGAGCAGTTGCATGGACCCACTCGTCAAGGCGTACCGCCTCCGTGCAAGAAAGGCGACACGAGTGCAGCGGGGTTCTGGAGAGAGGATCCTAGGTCCTATGGACTGGTCCTGGATCGACAAGATAATGCAGGAGTGGTTGAAGGAAGGGGCGGAGGATGTGGAGGAAACTGAAACGGCAATAGAGGGAATGCTGGATGAGGTTGTCACAGATCAGGGGGTTAGTGAGAACACCCGTGCGGTGCGACAACGAACCATGAGTGGACAGCCGAGTACTGTTTCTGTGCAACCGGTGTGCAGCACCCCTTTGGCTACCAATGAGCTCACTTTCTCGCCTGGGTGTCACGGCAGCACATCCCGGCCTGCCCCGGTGTCATACGGCCAACGAACTTCACAAGCTCGTCGCCGTTTGCTGGGTTTGTGGTTATAGACATACTTGCTTGTCCCTAAATTCCTGCTCGTGCTTCAGCAGCCGCATCCACCCTGCGCTTATGTCCTTTTTTTGCTTGTTTGCCAAATCTGTGCATTTCTGCTTTCTGTTACCAACCCACAGGAGAAAGGCCAACCAACCTACGCTAACGCTCTTGGCAAGCAGAGGTCTCACACGTAAAGGTGGATTGTAACACGCACAACCTGGCGTCTCCAATACGGTATTCGCCCAATCAGCCCCATACCCTAGGGTACTTTACTGCCCAATCATATACTTGCTGTTTTACATGACCGGTCCACCACACTCCTATAGGATGTCATTTTTTTTTAGTGATGTTGCCTTCCTTTTTGTACTATACGACTGCAAGATCGTGCCACCTACACCTTCAATGACATCCTTACCCCCCCACCTCCCCCATCCCCTCTCCCACCCGTGCCTTCTGGTCTCTGACAAAGAGATGTCACAGGTCCGGGTTTCTTGGCTGATGCCCCCGTCTCCCAAGTTTGTCCCCAACCCCATCTTCACCTCATACTTTATATTTCATACTTCGTCAAACGGCTTGCAGCAGATGCTTTGGTCAGCACTCTCTAAACGTTGCTTCTCCTAAAGACGTACGGTAGCGTACTATAAACAGGTCCACAACCCAAATTAGTTGAGGCATAACATGAACTGAAGGACCTCCCAGAAACCTCAAGTGGTTGCGTAGCCTCCTGCTTTTGCGGTTGCTAACTTCACAACATCATTGTCATCTAATAATGGCACGGCATGTGTGATATTTACTCTGAACTCTGATTGTTTGTTTTGACAATGTCGGTGTTAGGGTTTGCTTACACAATCCATACCATTCTCATATAATCTCCCTTCCGTATAATTCACAAATGAAGTTGCATTGTTGGAATAGTTTGGTAGGTTGATCCATTAGCATCTATGAGGCGAACGCATGCACCGAAACAATGCCGTCAACAGGGCCTGTACACAGGAGTGGGTGAAAAGGCAGCATAGGACTGGAGAAATCAGGTATTGTGGGAGGGGGGGATCGTAGTGGAGCAATAAGAGTGGGCAAGAGCATGCGATATCAGAGTGGGTGTGTTGGGAACCCGAATTTGTGGGGAATGAGATGTGAGATGCGGGGTGAGTTTGGAGTAGGTACGGTGTGGTCACGGAATGAGATAGGTGAGGGGATAATGGTTAGGAGAATAAAGTGGAAGAATGGGGTGGTGGCACTGAGCATATCAATGGGTAAGTTTATGTGAAACTATTGAGTCCGATGGAAGCAGAGCAAGTTTGATTTGACAAGATGGAAGAAATGATTGCGGAGAGCTCATGAGCGGGAACGGACTTGGGAGTTGTGGATGGAACAGAGTGATGAGCGCAAGAGGGTAGAGGGGTGGGGAGTGCGATGAAACAAGCAGCGACAACAGTGCTCGTAAGGCAGCAAGTTGGTGCGATATGATTGCCCCCTCCCACCGTGGGCGTTTTACACATGCAGGCATTGGCGCGGCGGCCAACTTGAAGGGGAGTTGTTACCGGTGTTGTTATGCGCAGGGGTCGAGGGCGATGGCATGGCACCTGTGCAGGTGAGTGCTGCCTATAATCCCAGGCGACAGTGCTGTACTGTAGTGAGGGCTTCGCCCTGGGAATGGACGGGAAACCGGGAGTTGGGATGGGAGGGGTCAAGAGGAGAGGTGGGGTGGTGTGTGGTGGGGTGGGGTGGGGTGCTACAGTGTCTAGCGTGTGGGGAGTTGCCCTGGGCAAATGGAGGCCACTAAATGGCTGGAGGGGCTGGCTCGAGGAGCAATGAGCAGATGCACCAAACTATGGGTTGCTGAGGAAGGAGAGGATGGGTTGGAATGGAATAGGGTGGGGGAAACAGAATTACCCCTTGGGGGCAACATAGAATTTCTACTGGGGACAGGACAGAATTACCCTTTGGGGCAAAACTGAACTTGCCCGAGATTTAGAATCTCACATGGAGGGAAAGAGAATTTTCTAGGGTTGGAAAGAGAATGCCCTGGGGTTGAAAATCAAAATCTGGTCGGTTGGGATGGGAAAACAGGAGGGACGAAGTGGTGACGAGGAGAGGAGAGAGGGAAAGTCTTCAGGTGCGGGAAACAGAGTCCCCCCGTGGGGGCAGGTGAGAAATTTCTACTTCTGACAAAACAGAAGTACCCCTGGGGGCTTCACAGAACTCCCCCTTGGGGCAAAATCCGACTTCCCTCCAGGGCAAAACAGAACTTGGCGGGGAATTAGAGTCTTAGATGGGAGGAAAGCGGATGGGGGAAAGTGGATGTGCGCTAATGCGGATGGGGGAAAGCGGATGGGGGAAAGCGGATGGGGGAACGCAGTTGTGCCAAGGCGGATGGGGCTCAGGTAGGTGGGGGAAAGCGGGTTGGGGAAGGCTGGTGGGGGAAGGCTGATGGGGGAAGACGGAATGGGGCAGGACGGGATGGGGAAGGCGGATGGGGGAAGGCGGATGGGGGAAGGCGGATGGGGTAAGGCGGGTCGGGCAAGGCGGATAGGGCAGGGCAGATGGCGGAATTAAGAGACACTCACAAGCACCTCGTTGTATGAGCAGGCGAGCATTCTTGCAGGCATGGGGGGGATGACACGCAACGGTGTGCCTGCAGTGTGTGACAATTCACGTGAACGGGAGGGGAGGGCATGGGAGGAAGAGGGATGGGGAGGGGAAGGGTTGGTGGAGGGGAAGGGGGTGACATGAGGGGAGGGATGTGGGGCGCGAGTGACAATGATAAGGCGGACCATGTCCTTCCTCCATCCCTGCCCTGCACCTGGTTGCCGAAACCCAAGAACTTTTGCCAATCAGTGCCGATGAGACGTAGCCCACCAGCTCACATGCACACGGGCCAAGGGCTCCCGTGTACAGCGAAGGCAGGGAGGGCAGGGAGATCATGGGATAGCAGCATACCTAGAGCAGCGAGGCGCGTGTCAAGCATGTTGCCCATCTGCGCGCGCACACACACACACACAGCGAAGGGGATGGGCAGGGAAAAGAGAGCGTTGGAACAGGAGGTGATGGGAAGGCAAAAGATGAAATCTGAGTGGTACGGGTAGGAAGGGGGAATGGAACGGAAGTGGAGAGGGAGGTGGACGGACGTATGGCGATGAGGATGGATGGGGGAGCAGCCATGCGAGCGGTGACGTTGAAGGACGAGACAACAAAGCATGGTGCTGAACAGCTTCACGGCGTGTTGGGTGGCATGGCAGCCGAGCCAACGGTGGAGCATGACACGGGCATACCAGGTTGAAGTGCTCGTACTGCTGATTGCCCAGCCCAAACACGGCAAAGCGCATGGGACGGCTGGGGACTGAGGTATGAACAGAGGGGTGGTGGCAGGTTAACGGCACAGCATGAACCAGTCATGAAGGGCAACACGCACGCGCTGCACCTAGCCTCTCCACCGCTGCTTACCTCTACCTCTGCAGCAGCAGCATCCACTTGAAGAAACGCTGCACACCGTCCGTTGGCTCTCCGTCAACGTAGCTGCCCACGGAAGAGGGAGGGGAGGGGAGGAGGTGAGCAAAGGGGGAAAGGCATGGGCAAGGCGGAAAGGCATGGGCAAGGGGGAAAGGCATGGGCAAGGGGGAAAGGCATGGGCAAGGGGGAAAGGCATGGGCAAGGGGGATAGGCATGGGCAAGGGGGATAGGCATGGGCAAGGGGGATAGGCATGGGCAAGGGGGGAAAGGCATGGGCAAGGGGGATAGGCATGGGCAAGGGGGAAAGGCATGGGCAAGGGGGAAAGGCATGGGCAAGGGGGAAAGGCATGGGCTAGGGGGAAAGGCATGGGCAAGGGGGGTAGGCATGGGCAAGGGGGATAGGCATGGGCAAGGCGGATAGGCATGGGCAAGGCGGATAGGCATGGGCAAGACGGATAGGCATGGGCAAGGGGGAAAGGCATGGGCAAGGGGGAAAGGCATGGGCAAGGCGGAAAGGCATGGGCAAGGGGGAAAGGCATGGGCAAGGGGGAAAGGGACGGGCATTGGGGAAAGGCATGGGCAAGGGGGAAAGGCATGGGCAAGGGGGAAAGGAATGGGCAAGGCGGATAGGCATGGGCAAAGGGGGAAAGGGACGGGCAATGGGGAAAGGCATGGGCAAGGGGGGAAAGGCATGGGCAAGGGCGAAAGGCATGGGCTAGGGGGAAAGGCATGGGCAAGGGGGATAGGCATGGGCAAGGCGGATAGGCATGGGCAAGGCGGATAGGCATGGGCAAAGGGGGAAAGGGACGGACAAGGCGGAAAGGCATGGGCAAGGGGGAAAGGCATGGGCAAGGGGGAAAGGCATGGGCAAGGGGGAAAGGGACGGGCAAGGGGGAAAGGCATGGACAAGGGGGAACGGCATGGGCAAGGCGGAAAGGAATGGGCAAGGCGGATAGGCATGGGCAAAGGGGGAAAGGGACCGGCAATGGGGAAAGGCATGGGCAAGGGGGAAAGGCATGGGCTAGGGGGAAAGGCATGGGCAAGGGGGATAGGCATGGGCAAGGGGGGAAGGCATGGGCAAGGCGGATAGGCATGGGCAAGGCGGATAGGCATGGGCAAAGGGGGAAAGGGACGGGCAAGGCGGAAAGGCATGGGCAAGGGGGAAAGGCATGGGCAAGGGGGAAAGGCATGGGCAAGGGGGAAAGGGACGGGCAAGGGGGAAAGGCATGGACAAGGGGGAACGGCATGGGCAAGGCGGAAAGGAATGGGCAAGGCGGATAGGCATGGGCAAAGGGGGAAAGGGACCGGCAATGGGGAAAGGCATGGGCAAGGGGGAAAGGCATGGGCTAGGGGGAAAGGCATGGGCAAGGGGGATAGGCATGGGCAAGGGGGAAAGGCATGGGCAAGGGGGATAGGCATGGGCAAGGCGGATAGGCATGGGCAAAGGGGGAAAGGGACGGGCAAGGCGGAAAGGCATGGGCAAGGGGGAAAGGCATGGGCAAGGGGGAAAGGCATGGGCAAGGGGGAAAGGGACGGGCAAGGGGGAAAGGCATGGACAAGGGGGAACGGCATGGGCAAGGCGGAAAGGAATGGGCAAGGCGGATAGGCATGGGCAAAGGGGGAAAGGGACCGGCAATGGGGAAAGGCATGGGCAAGGGGGAAAGGCATGGGCTAGGGGGAAAGGCATGGGCAAGGGGGATAGGCATGGGCTAGGGGGAAAGGCATGGGCAAGGGGGGTAGGCATGGGCAAGGGGGATAGGCATGGGCAAGGCGGATAGGCATGGGCAAGGCGGATAGGCATGGGCAAGACGGATAGGCATGGGCAAGGGGGAAAGGCATGGGCAAGGGGGAAAGGCATGGGCAAGGCGGAAAGGCATGGGCAAGGCGGAAAGGCATGGGCAAGGGGGAAAGGCATGGGCAAGGGGGAAAGGGACGGGCATTGGGGAAAGGCATGGGCAAGGGGGAAAGGCATGGGCAAGGGGGAAAGGAATGGGCAAGGCGGATAGGCATGGGCAAAGGGGGAAAGGGACGGGCAATGGGGAAAGGCATGGGCAAGGGGGGAAAGGCATGGGCAAGGGGGAAAGGCATGGGCAAGGGGGATAGGCATGGGCAAGGCGGATAGGCATGGGCAAGGCGGATAGGCATGGGCAAAGGGGGAAAGGGACGGGCAAGGCGGAAAGGCATGGGCAAGGGGGAAAGGCATGGGCAAGGGGGAAAGGCATGGGCAAGGGGGAAAGGGACGGGCAAGGGGGAAAGGCATGGACAAGGGGGAACGGCATGGGCAAGGCGGAAAGGAATGGGCAAGGCGGATAGGCATGGGCAAAAGGGGAAAGGGACCGGCAATGGGGAAAGGCATGGGCAAGGGGGAAAGGCATGGGCTAGGGGGAAAGGCATGGGCAAGGGGGATAGGCATGGGCAAGGGGGAAAGGCATGGGCAAGGCGGATAGGCATGGGCAAGGCGGATAGGCATGGGCAAAGGGGGAAAGGGACGGGCAAGGCGGAAAGGCATGGGCAAGGGGGAAAGGCATGGGCAAGGGGGAAAGGCATGGGCAAGGGGGAAAGGGACGGGCAAGGGGGAAAGGCATGGACAAGGGGGAGCGGCATGGGCAAGGCGGAAAGGAATGGGCAAGGCGGATAGGCATGGGCAAAGGGGGAAAGGGACCGGCAATGGGGAAAGGCATGGGCAAGGGGGAAAGGCATGGGCTAGGGGGAAAGGCATGGGCAAGGGGGATAGGCATGGGCAAGGGGGAAAGGCATGGGCAAGGGGGATAGGCATGGGCAAGGCGGATAGGCATGGGCAAAGGGGGAAAGGGACGGGCAAGGCGGAAAGGCATGGGCAAGGGGGAAAGGCATGGGCAAGGGGGAAAGGCATGGGCAAGGGGGAAAGGGACGGGCAAGGGGGAAAGGCATGGACAAGGGGGAACGGCATGGGCAAGGCGGAAAGGAATGGGCAAGGCGGATAGGCATGGGCAAAGGGGGAAAGGGACCGGCAATGGGGAAAGGCATGGGCAAGGGGGAAAGGCATGGGCTAGGGGGAAAGGCATGGGCAAGGGGGATAGGCATGGGCAAGGCGGATAGGCATGGGCAAGGCGGATAGGCATGGGCAAGGCGGAAAGGCATGGGCAAGGGGGAAAGGCATGGGCAAGGCGGAAAGGCATGGGCAAGGGGGAAAGGCATGGGCAAGGGGGAAAGAGACGGGCATTGGGGAAAGGCATGGGCAAGGGGGAAAGGCATGGGCAAGGCGGAAAGGCATGGGCAAGGGGAAAGGCATGGGCAAGGGGGAAAGGCATGGGCAAGGGGGATAGGCATGGGCAAGGGGGATAGGCATGGGCAAGGGGGATAGGCATGGGCAAGGGGGGAACTGCACGCTCACCTGCTCCGCGTGCAGCATGCTCGCCGGTGCTGTCCACGCGGCCAGCAGAGCGCAAGGCGCTGCCTGGTGAGCGGGGGGGGCGCTGACCCGGCGGGTGGAGCGGCGCGTGGGCGCTGTGACGTTGGAGCCTGTCGTTCATCCACAGGGAGGAGAGGGAGGGGCAGAGGGGAGAGCGGAGGAAGAGACGGAGGGAGAGAGCAACGCGGACGCGCGAAGGGCAAGAGGGGTGGAGGCGCATGCAGTTGTAGAGCGCGCGGACTGCAGTCTTCCGCAGTCGCATGGCGCACATGCAGTCGCATGGTGCAGATGCAGTCGCATGGCGCACATGCAGTCGCATTGCGGCCATGCAGTCGCATGGCGCGCATGCAGTCGCATGGCGCACATGCAGTCGCATGGCGCGCATGCAGTCGCATGGCGCGCATGCAGTCGCATTGCGGCCATGCAGTCGCATGGCGCGCATGAAGTCGCATAGCGCACATGCAGGCGGCATAGCGCACATGCAGTCTAGGTGCGGGCTCGTGAATTCACAGGGCGCACACATGCAGTGAGAGACGAGCCCGCACCTAATACGACAGCGGATGAGAGACGAGCGCGGATTGTGGGCCAGTCCGGATGAGAGACGAGCGCGGATTGTGGGCCAGACCGGATGAGAGACGAGCGCGGATGCGCGAGGTGCGCGGATGAGATTTCGGGCGCGGATGAGCGACGGGCGCGTATGACATTTCGCGCGCGGATGAGCGAGGAGCGCGTATGAGATTTCGAGCGCGGACGAGCCGTGAGCGCGGGTTCCCTAAGATCGCAGGTGAGCGCGGGGGTTGGTTGAGCGACGAGCGTCGGTGTGCGACGAGCCGAATGCAAACGGCATGAGAGCGGGGGGACGATGAGAACGGTCTGGTGGTGGTATACAATGGCAAAGCACTTTCCCCGCCCACACGCCCTAGGCTTTCTGGGTATCGCGTCATGCCTGCCGCAGCAGTACACACCTACGATGTCGTCTAGTTATGCCTGTTGCTGGGCGCCGAGAAGACATTGATGCGTCACATGTACGTCACCATTGAGACCTTCCTCACCGTCGAGGGTATCTTCGCGATTTTAGTAAACCTGGTCGTAGCCCTATATGTATCGCTCGTCTCTCCATTCCGCATTTCGGAGGGCGTATAGGAGTGAGTGGTCAAAGGCCTGATTAGTAATCTTGCTTGGAGTGAGTGGTCTAGGTGTGTTGCCCCTTCTCCCGGGCTTTCCTCGGTGATTGAACTTCAAAAGTCCCAAATTGCGGGGCTGTGGGCGTCAAGGTGAGTATTCGGAGTCTGCCTGGTGTTAGGACCAGGGCTGCAGCGTTTCGCACGGATCCACCCAACCAATCGAATTGAGGTTACGGGTTGTACGAAGGAAGTTGATTGGCTAGTCAATTTGAAACACTGAGCTGATTGGCTAGCAAAATTGAAACAGTGTTTGCGGAGGGGGTTGGGTGGGAAACTGGCAAGGATAGTATTTGTGCAATATGGGACTCATGCAGGGCCTCAGATTGGTTTTTGTGTACCCTGAGCACTGTGTCCCTAGGAGGGTAACACTGAATTTCAGTGTCGTCTAGTGTGAAACACTGAATTTACAGGGTTGTTAGAAATAAAACGCTGATCAATCAGGGTTTCTACAACTTCAACACTGATCAGCATAGTTGCTTTACTGGTATGCTGTCATAACACAGCGAATCAGACTGCCCTCACTTTACAATTCCCAAATTCGGCCAGGATTCTGCTATTTCCGTGTCTGATTGGTCAGAAATCTTGTCTGACCAATCGAATAGGACAATTGTTAAGAATTGTTTCTGATCTCTGGTTGTGTACTTGACTGATGATTCGGACTTGGTTCGTCACAGCAGATTCGCCCTGACGGCAAATTCGACCTCGCACAGTCGTTACGCGCTGTCGCAGCACAGCAAATTCGCCCAATCATAGCAGATTTGCCCTGACACAGCAGCAGATTCGCCCCTCACACAAGAGATTCGCCCTGTCAGAGCATGTTTCGCCAGAAATCCCCTTGGTGCACGGTGCACAGTGACGGCGCGCCAAAACAAGGAGTTTTCGGTTTCAGGGTAGACCCCGATACAACACTGACTCGTCAGTGTCCTCAAACACAAAACACTGGAAAATCAGAGTTCGAAATTTAAAAACACTGAAACATCAGGGTCGTTGAAAAAAAAAGGCTGATGCATCAGGGTCATGATAAAAAACGGGGGTCAAACTTCAGGAATTCAGGGTAAAATTCCTGACATCTGAGGCCCTGGACTCATGCAACCAAACGCGAAGTGGCCCCTGGGGTCTACTGAGTCAGCGAAATGTGTTTGAGATTGGCGAGAAGTTGGGCGAAACCAAAGCCCTCAACCCACCCAACACCTCGACTAGCCAACCCTGCTCCCTCACCTCCCAACATGCAACACCTCCCATATTTCCTGGGACATTTATTTACCAAACAAATCGTACCGTAATTATCCTGAGGTTTCGTATATGTATCAAAATGAGAAACATGGCTGGTTTGAGAAACACCCAGCATCCACTAGTCTGGCAGGGTTGGCTAGAGCAAAACGAGCTCCACCAGCAGAGAGGACAGTATGCAATATCTCCCAATTTTCTGTGCCCCTAGTGACGTCCTCACTTGCTAATACTGGTAGCTAACTATCTCACTTCAGAACCACATTAAAAGCATGCTTCAGATCAGACATTACCTACGGTACTATTGTTTCAATATCAATCGTCACAGCTTCACATTTTCTAGTCACTCCTCTCCATCCTCCTCCCCATCCTCCTTCCCATCCCAGACGTGAGCCAAATCTTCCACAGGAAGAGCATTCACCACCTTGTATGTCTCCCTAGAGTGCCTCTCGTGCACCTTCTCCCGATACTCCTCCCCGTGCTTCTTCTTCTCATTGATACGGATCTGAAAGGGCAACAGCGGAGACGGCCCACTGAATGTGATGGATGTGTGTGTGTCGCTAAACATAAGCGGATCGAGTATGATCAAACATGCAAACAATAATGTTCCTGTTGCGTCATCCAGATTTATACACACCTTATTTGGTGAAATGTAACTTGGATTCTCATAAAGAGTGGGCCCACCGAATGTGCCAGAGAACACACGAATGGGATTTAAACAGAAGCGAGGTCCCACCTGCACGGCACGGCAGAAGAGTCAGGTTTGGGAAACGAGGTGAAGGAGAAAACGGAGGCAGCGAATACACAGACAGTGAAATCTTCACTAGCAACAAACAAAGTGCACTCTGTCCCGAGACATCAGCAACAGTAACAGAGCGTCTACTGTTGACCCTCGTGATTGTAGGTATGCCTCCTCACCACAGGCATGACTCTGAAACGCCTACCCTCGCACCGCACAGCAGCACACCAGCACCACATGACACCTCACTGCACCCCACCGCAGCACACCAGCATCCTTGTGACTCATTTGTTATGCCCACCTCCACAAGTGACATCGTCTCCATGGTGATGTCTTCAATTCCGGCCACCCCCTCTGCTCCTCTATGGGTTTGACTCCACACCACACTGCACCACACCAGTCTCTGTAGCACCCACCTCCACTAGTGACTTCTTCTCCATGGTGATGTCATCAATTCTGGATGCCCCCTCTGCCACATGAATGCAAATCCAAGACGCTCATAACACACCCGCACCACACCTCACCATACCAGACTGCACCACACCGCACTGCACCACACACGACCACACCACAGGCATGTCTTTACTATGCCCACCTCCACTAGCGACATCTTCTCCATGGTGATGCCATCAATTCCGGCCGCCCCCTCGGCTCCAGAAATGCATAATTGAAACTCTCACCACAGTGTGCAGCGCCTACCTACACACCACACCAAACCGTACCGCACCGCACTATGTGTGTGCAGCACCCACCTCCACCAGCGACATCTTCTCCATCGTGATGTCATCGATTCTCGCTGCCCCCTCTGCTCCAGGAATGCATATCTGACAGGACAGAATGAATAGGACAGGAATGCTGTCAGCAACTGTGTTAGTGTTAAGACGGACCAATCACCAACGTTGGCGTATAGAGCAGATGGAGCTAGGTAGGTGAATGAGAGCACATGCCGCAATCGGTTAGAGCAGCCTCACTTGGTAGTTTCTGAACCAGATGCGGCCATCCAGGTAGGTGAATGTGAGCACATGATCGTAGAATGGCTTCGACTTGCGGTGGCCCTTGGGGGTTGCAAACGTCTGCATGCGCTCACAGAGGGGGGGGGGGGGAGGGGGATGGGTTAGTGGGTGGGCAGCAAGGCGAAGGACCCTGATGCAAAAACAGACTTCTATACTTGAAGGGAAGAAGTGACAGAGTAGAGCGAGACTGCAATGGGTAAGGGCACGGCACGTGAGCGTGCATCCGTGAGTGCATGAGAAAGAAGGGCACGTGAGCGTGCATCCGTGAGTGCATGAGAAAGAAGGGCACGTGAGCGTGCATCCGTGAGTGCATGAGAAAGAAGGGCACGTGAGCGTGCATCCGTGAGTGCATGAGAAAGAAGGGCACGTGAGCGTGCATCCGTGAGTGCATGAGAAAGAAGGGCACGTGAGCGTGCATCCGTGAGTGCATGAGAAAGAAGGGCACGTGAGCGTGCATCCGTGAGTGCATGAGAAAGAAGGGCACGTGAGCGTGCATCCGTGAGTGCATGAGAAAGAAGGGCACGTGAGCGTGCATCCGTGAGTGCATGAGAAAGAAGGGCACGTGAGCGTGCATCCGTGAGTGCATGAGAAAGAAGGGCACGTGAGCGTGCATCCGTGAGTGCATGAGAAAGAAGGCCGTGAGGGCGTGCCTGGATTAAGAGCTCCTTGAGAACAGAGAGGAAGGGTAGGCGGTCAAACGAGGGGTTGAAGGTGAGTGCAGTGGGAGGGGGAGCGTCAGTGGGAGGGGGAGCGTCAGTGGGAGGGGGAGCGTACGTGCGTGTCTAGATGAGGTGGAACAAGATGAAGGGGAGGAGGGGGGGGGGGGGGGGGGGGGGGGGGTGGGATTGTGTGAGCGTGCCTGGATGAAGAGCTCCTTGAGAACGGAGAGGAAGGGCAGGCGGTCGAACGAGGGCGAGAAGGTGAGGAAGGGACGCGAGCCCTTGAGGTGGTTGCCCGTTAGCTTGAGCTCCTCCATTGTGTGCACTGGGGGGTTGGTGGGGGGGGATGTGGTGTGATAGGGGGAGTAAGGAAGGAGGGGGAGTGGGCGAGTTGAGTGGGCGGACAAGGACGGACGGCCCTTGAGGTGGTTGCCTGTGAGCATGAGCTCCTCCATTGTGTGCACTGGGGGGGTAGAGGCGGGGGGTGTGGAGGGATGGCGCGGAGGGTGGGGGGAGGTGGAAGAGGGGAGAAGCATGGGAGAGGAGTGGGTGAACAAGGAAAGCCCTTGAGGTGGTTGCCTGGCAGCTTCAGCTCTTTCATTGTGTGCGCTGCTAAGGAAAATGTGTGGACGAGGGGTTAAGGGGGTGGAAAGGGATTTGACAGGGGTAGGCGCACAATTGGAGGTTGGAGCTTGTACCAAAACTTGGTCGCTTTGAGACGTGTCACATGGCGTGCGTGCAGAAACGTTACTCAAGCATGCACATTCGAACAACACACCCACGGGTACGACGAGCGAGCATACCTGCACTGACGAGAAACTTCACGGAAGGACCCGAGGGCCCCTTGCTTAGCCACAGGTATAGGTCTCTCTGCTTGCGCATCTGGCAGTGAGAGGGAAACAGAGATGGAAGGAGAGAGATGGAAGGAGAGAGATGGCTGGCACCACCAGTGTATGGGCGGCAGGGGCATGAACACAGATGGCTGGCAGTGGCACAGACAGAGCTGCAGGTCTTGCGCTTGTGCGTAGAAGGCACGGGGCAGGGACTGAGTGACAGGGGCGGTCAAACGAGTCCACTCAGGGCATGCAGTGAGGAAGCCAAAGTGTGAGGGGCAAGGTGTGGCGGGGCGGATGGAGAGGGGGGGAAAGGGGAGGGAGAGGGGAGGGGAAGGGGAGGGAAAGGGCGGGGCACGGAACAAGATGGGATGGCCTGGGGGGAGCGGGTGGGTGGGGTGAGGGGAGCTGAGGGCGGCACCGTACCTCGAAGAAGAGGCAAAGCGAGCAGCCCCGTAAGTCCATGAGCTCAGAGAGGAGTGGAGTAAGGTGGGGTGGGGAGGGGTGAAGTGAGCAAGGCAGCAAAGCACCTCACCTCGAAGAAGAGGCACAGGGAGCAGCCCCGTAAGTCCATGAGCTCAGAAAGAGCCTCGTTGAGCTGACGGCCGCGAGCCACGTCCACCTTGGGCTCCTTCTTGCTGTGCGGCAACAGCGCCGTGATGTCCTCCATTAGATGGCGGTACCTGGGAGAAGAAAGCAGGCAGGAAAACGATAAAGAGTGAGAGAGGGGCACATGACCATTCCATGCGTGGGAAGGCACCACTAGCAGTGCTAAGTCCACCTTTGGCTCCTTCTTGCTGTGCGGTAAGACCGCTGTGATGTCCTCCATTAGATGGCGGTACCTGGGAGAGGCAGGCGGATAAGCGTAAGCGGTGGGATAAGCCAAGCCTCGACCAAAGGTAGAAACCCCTGAACCCCGCAGAACCCTAGTGCAACCCTGCCCCCGTCAGTGGCCCAACCCTGACCCCGACACAACGACCGACCTGTACACAATGCCTCGCGACGACAGCACCAGAACCTTCTCCTTCTTAAACCCCACCACTGCCTTCCCCTGCAGTGCCCCCGCTAACGCGCCCGCCGCTTTCCCCTGCAACTCGCTCTTCGGGATAAGCCCCACGTGGACGACTCGCGTGCTCTGATTGGCTTTCGTCGCTTCTTCCGCGGCTGTCTTCGCTGCGATTTTCTTCTGCTTCTTCTTCGCGATCATCTCCTGTTTTTTCGTTAAAAGCGGCTTCGATTTCGCGCTAATGCGCGATTGGCCTTTCGCGGCTGGCGCCGCGGCGGTAACCGTCGCTTTTTGTATTTTCACGGAGGACTTCGCCACGCCTAGCGGGTTCCGGGTCGCTGGCTTCACCCTCTTCACCGGCGCAGGTTTCGACCTCGCCATTTGAGATATATGTCTGGAAAGACGAAGGAAGAGGAAAAGAACGGACGAGCACGCGAGGAGTAGAAAGCGAGGAAGCGGGAAACCGATTACTTGGATCGCAATGCGGCGATTATTGAGTGAGAGACGATGCGTTGACCTCTAATTTTCGTGACTGGTTTTGCTGCGCTGAACCTTTGTGGTTGAGGGGAAGAACAATATTTTGGGAAGGTCGAAAAACACTGAGCTTTTGGTGCTACACTTTTTGGTTCAGTTCACGCTAGTTCCATGCTGTTCGCTGCTTGTATCGGGAATAAGAGCATCTGGGTATGGAAAGAAGCGGGCGGGAGCGTCAGCTTTACGTTCCCCAGCCAGCATTGCAGGTTCGGGCCTGAACCAACCTGCGACCTAGATTTCATCGTCACCCATACGAGGATGATGATTCATAAAGTCGAGGCGGGATTTGGCGGGAAAGCCTACCCTTGAAATTCAGGGTGCAGCTTTCATGCTTCTTGCACACGTTCAAGGTTCCATGGCTGCTCCATTTTATAATAAATTTCGGAGCTTCGTCTTTCTTCAGTGGGTTGATTTATTTCCGTCTTATCATTCCTCACACTACGACGCTAAGCTGCTTGTTTCAAGGTTTTCCTAGTGTCCGTAAAAACAGATATATTTGCAAATCTTTCAAAGTACTCTGTTCAGTGTTGCGCGGTATACTCTTGCAGAAATTAGTCAACTTATGTCGTCTTAGATCACCGATCGTCACCCTAGGTGGTAACGATGGTTGCTGCTACGCGAAGCCGTCGCAAGCCTTCGCACAAAATTGATACGCTAGAGGTCAACGCGAATGGCTCGCTAGAGCCTCACGCTAATACAACGCGACAGCACACTCCGTCACCGGACGTGTCGTTTCTCGTTAACGGGGACGACAGCAAACCTAGTCTGAACAAGGGTCCCAAGCCTACTTCGAGCCTGCCTCCTGAGTGTAGTCCGAGCCTGGCTGCGAGGTCTGGTCCACGTCTTAGTAGTGGCGAGGCGAGTTGTGGTCAGTCCCTTGGGATTGCCGATAACTCTATCTCTAGGGTAAGAAACAGCAGGAGTGGGAGGGCGAAGGCTGTCGAAGAGGCCGAAATGGGCGGCGTACTGGCGAAGGTTTTCGCTGGTGTGACGGAAGGTCTGAGCGTCGAACGGATAAGAGGGAATCACGACGCGCAGGAGCCGGGGGAAAATGCTCGCGGGGGAGAGGGGAGGAGAGGAGGAGACAGATAAGGAGGAGACAGATAAGAAACAGCAGCAGGAACAACAAGCACATCACCCGAAGCAGCAGCAGCTTTGTGTGGGGACTCGGTGGATCCAGGCGAGGACACGCAGGTGGACGCCCTCGGTATAGTCACGCGCCTGCTGGGCTCCGACAGCCAGCACAGCAGCGACGTGCTTCTACCGGGCGGTGCACTGGGCGGGCTGCTGCTGGGGGGAATGGGCGGAGGCATGGGGGGAGCGGCTGGGGGCGAGAAGGGGGGTAACAGCAAGGGCAGTGGGGCAGGAGGTACGAGCAAAGGAAGGGAGGTACCCAGCTGGGCTAACTGGCTCAAGCCGGTGGGGAAGGCAGGAGGAGGGACGGTGGCTGACGGGCACGTGGGTGTTTCCGGTGTGCAGCAGCCGTTGAAGGCTGTTCTGAGGGAGGATGGGGTGGACCCGTACGCGCTTCCTTACAGTGAGGACCCGGACGAGGGGGGGTGTTGGGGCAAGGGCGGAGTGGGTGAGGCGGAGAGGGGGGCGGAAGGAGGGAAGGCTAGTGGAGGGCGGAAGGGAGGGGATAAGGGAGATGGGGTGGAGGAAGAGGAGTTGGAAGAGGAGGAAGAAGCTCGAAAAGTGAAGGGGAAGAGGACGCGTGGAAGTGCAAGAGGTAAGGGAAGAGGAGGAGGAAGAGGGAGAGGAGGGAGAGGAGAGGGGAAGACAAAGGGGAGGGGCAAAGGGGCGAAAGGGGCAGGTAGCGAAGAGGGTATAGAAGAAGAGAAAGGGGAGGAAGAGGAGGCGGAGGGGATGGGGCAGAAGGGCAGAGGGGGGAAGAATGGCAGGTCAGGGACGGGCGGGCGTGGGGCAGGTGCAGCAGGGCAAGGGGGGAAGCGAGGGAGAGGCGCAGGGAAGGGTGCAAGTGCAAGTCCGAGCCACGGGCTGGATAGAGAGTATTTCTTGAAGCTGAGTCAGCTGCAGGAGGAGGAGGAAGAGGAGGAGGAGGGGAGGGGGAAGAGAAGACGGTTGTCAAAGTCTTGGAGAGCAGGAGAGGGCGTTGGAGGAGAGGAGAAGGAGAAAGGGGTGCCGCAGATAGAGGAGAGGGAGGAGAGCGAGGAGAGAGCTGGGATGGAAGAGAAAGCAGTGGGAGCGCAAGAGGGCGAAGTTCCTCCTGAAGGTGAGGAGACAGGGCTGCAACATCCGAGGTTGGGGGAGTCTGCTCCCTTGGAAAGCCAGGAAGGAGGACCGCTGAACCCAAGCCTGGGCGACGCAGCTGGTGTGGAGAATGCGGGTCTGAGCGAGCCAGTTCCAGTGGGAGCAGCAGGCGGGCAGGTGCAGGGATCAGAAAACGCGGACGGTATGCCCTTTGATTCCCAGGCGGTTTGGATGGACTCGCAAGCGGTGGAGATGGGTGTGGGGGGGAGCCTGGGCGTGCAGGTGAGCCTGGGGGAGGTGTTAACTGCGGATCTGGAGATGTCCCAGCGGTGGACGGAGGGGGGAGGGGGCGGAGGAGGGAGTGAGGAGGGGGGTGAGAGGGTGGAGGAGAAGGAGGGAGGGGATGAAAGGAAGGTTGATGGGGATGAGGGCAAAGGTGGAAAGGAGGGCAAGGATGGTGGGGAGGGGAAAGAGGATGGTGAAGAGAGGGGCAAGGGTAGAGAGGCGAGGGGCAACGTGAGTGGGAAGTCGGATGCAGGTTTGGCTTCAGTGGAAAGCGGGGAAGGTGATGGAGTGAATAAGGACGGGGAAGAGGAAGGAGGGAGGGGAAATGGTGAGAGGGAGGTGAAGAGAAGGCGAGTGGGGAGTGGTTTGAGCACTGAAGGAGTGGAAGGAGGGGGAAGAGGGAGGAAAAGTCCAGAGGTAGAGGGAGCAGGGGAGGCAACAGAGGCGGGGGGAGAAGCAGAGGCCGGGGGAGCAGCAGAGGCCGGGGGAGCAGCAGAGGCCGGGGGAGCAGCAGAGGCCGGGGGAGCAGCAGAGGCCGGGGGAGCAGCAGAGGCCGGGGGAGCAGCAGAGGCCGGGGGAGCAGCAGAGGTTGGGGGAGCAGCAGAGGCCAGGGGAGAAGCAGAGGCCGGGGGAGCAGCAGAGGCCGGGGGAGCAGCAGGGACAAAGGCGTCAGCAGAGGCAGGAAAGGAAACTGAGGAAGGGGGAACAGTAGGAGCAAGCGCGAGAGCAGCGGGGGCAGCCAGGACTGAAGCAGCTGCAGTGGGTGGTATGGCTGGTGATATTGCTTGTGCGTTCTCCCCCGTGGGTGAAGACACACAGATTGCCCTTGACGCTCTTGACCTCATTCTCGTGCAGGAGGAGGGGATGGGGGAGGAGGAGAAGGGGGAGGGGGAGGGGAAGGTTGAGGAAGCAGAGGAGGGCGGGAGAGGGAAGAGGAGAGCAGCTGGGAGAGGCAAGGGAAGAGGAAAGGGGAGAGGGCAAGGGAGAGGCGTGGGGAGAGGGAATGGAAGAGGGAAGGGAGGAAGAAGAGGGGTAGTGCGGGAGGAAAGCAAGAGTGAAGCAGGTGAGTTGAGTGCTGTGGCTTCAGTGGCAGAGGTGGAAGGTGCACCAACGGCAGCAGGAGCAGCAGAAGCAGCAGTAGGAGAGGCAGCAGTAGTAGAAGCAGCTGAGAAGCAAAGGGGAACAACAGAGCTAGGAGAAAGTGGGGAGCTGACCTCAACACACGAGGCAGCCAAGCCAGCAGCAGTCTCAATGCCACCATCGCCAGCAGCACCAGCAGAACAAGCAGCATCAGCACACGCCGCACCAGCACAACAAGCACCATCAGCACACGCAGCACAAGCAGCACCAGCAGAACAAGCAGCAGCAGCAGCAGCGGAAGCAGCACCAGCAGAACAAGCAGCAGCACCAGTACCAGCAGCTCCAGTTACCGAAACAGCAACAGAACCAGCAGAACCAGCAGCACCAAGAGCACCCTCAGCACAAGCAACACCAGCAACAACGGTTGAAACAGCAGGTGGGGCACAATCAGGACCGGCAGCGAATTTAGCCGCATCAGCTGCAGGAGCAGCAGCCGCAGCAGCAGCTGTGGAGAGGCGGGTGGTGGGGCGGATGACAGACGTGGGGCGAGGGGCAGGGCTGGTGGGACTGGAAAGAGCAGTGGAGGAGGAAGGGGAGCAGGGAGGGGGAGGTGCAACAGTGGAAGAAGGGAAAAAGGGTGGAAAGGAGGTGGATGGGGAAGGGGAGCAGAGCAGGGCGACTGGGTTGGAATCAGGCGGGGGAAGAATGGTCCAAGGCGTGGTGGAAGCAGATGAAAGGCGGGAGATCACGGGAGTTGGAGATACTGCTGGTGGTGCTGCTGCTGCCACTGCTCCTGCGGTTCCTGCTTCTTCAGGTGCCACCACCACGTCTCCCACTGCGCCTGCTGCAGCGGCTGCTGATCTACCTCCCACTATTGATGCTGTCGGTACTACTGCTCCCCCAGAAATAGACCCCTCTCCTGCTCCTGCTGTTCCCCCAAAGGACGCCCCTTCTGCTGCTGCTTCTGCTCCAGCAACAGGCGTAGACGCCCCTTCGGCTGCTGCTGTTCCAGCACCAGGCGTCTCTACAGCTGCCGCAACAGCAACAGTCGCCACTGCTTCTGCCACCAGGACCAGGGGAGGCAGGCGAGCAGCAGGCAGCAGTCGAATGACCCAAGGGTTGGTGGCCTGCCAGGTGAAGCGAGCGGTTAAGAGGGGGGATGGTGGTCTGAACGACGGGGCCGTAGCAGAGGGGAATGGCGGGGAGAGAGGAGAGGGAGGGTGCAAGAAGGGAGATCGCGGAAGGGGGGAGGAGGAGGATGGAGAAGGGGAGGGGGCGGTGGGGAACTGGGGGAAGAAAGTAAAGGGGAAGCCAGAGGGGAAGGAAGGGAGGAAGCACGAGGGGAAGGAGGGGAGGAAATTAGAGGTGGAGAAGGGAGGGAAGAAACAAGTGCGGAAAGAGGGGAAGAAGCAAGAGGGGAAGGAAGTGAACAATCAAGAGGGGCAGGTGGCAGTTGCTGGTGGTGATAGTGTGAGTGGGAGGAAGAGGAGAAAGACGTCTCTCGGGCTGCATGATGGCTTCTATGAGCTTTTGGAGTCGAGTGAGAGTGAGAAAGGGAGTGATAAAGGGACTGAGAAAGGGAGTGAGGAAGAGAGTAAGAAAGGGAGTGAGGAAGGGAGTGAGAAGGGGGGTGATTCTGCGAGTGATGTGGGGAGTGATGAGAGTGAGGAGGAAGATGAGGCAAAGGCGAGGAAAAGGCAGAAAGGCTCGACTGCTGGAGGCAAGCAGATGAGGAAGAAAGGCGAGAAGGCGAGGGATAGGGAGGTGGAGCAGAGGGGGTCAGAGAGGGTACAGGGAGGTAGAGAGAGGCAGCAGAGGGGAAAGGCAAAGGCGGAACGCAAGGCACGCGCGGAGAGCAAGGCACGGGCAAGTGCGCAGAGATTGGAGGAGCTGAGTGGGGCAAAGGCACGGACGGGGAATAAGAGTGAAGGGAGTGAGGAGGAGGAGGGGCAGGCGGAGCTGAAAGAGAGTAAGCGGAAGGGGAGAGTGGAGCAGGGGAAGGGAGTGGTGGAAAGTGAAGGAACCGGGGGGGATGATGCGTCCAGGGTAGGGAGGAGCACGAGGGGCAGGCGCCAGGGAGGCCAGAGAGTGTTGGCAACAGAAGGGGATGGGGTGGAGCAGAAGCAAGCGAGTGGTTGTAAAGAAGAAATTGGAGGAGAAAGGGAAGGAGAGCAGAGAGATAGAGAGGGGCAGGAATGGGTCGAGGAAGTCGGATTTCCAGGGAGGGCGAGAAGAAGACGGAGCAGCAGCGGTGCAGCAGGGTCTCATCGCACCGGGTTGCATGGTTTGTCTCCAGTGCGGGTACTGTTCAGCCGATCCCTGGACGGCGACATGATCGCTGAGCTGACGAAAGTAGTGGAGAGGCTGGGAGGAGACGTTGTGTCTGATACCTCCCCTGCCACCATCACCACTGCCTCTGCGCTCTCCTCCTCCTCCTCATCCTCCTCTCCTGTGGTTGCTTCTGCTGCCCCTGCTGCTTCCATCTGCACTCATTTTGTCTCGGCGCCGCAAATCACCCGCTCGATTAATCTCCTCGTTGCTATCTCCAGGGGCTGCCACGTGTGCACTGCTGATTGGCTGCATGCGTGTGCGAAGGCACGGGGGTTTGTGGATGCGGGGGAGTATGGAGTGAGGGACAGGCGGAAGGAGAGGGAGATGGGGTTCAAGCTGGGGGAGGCGGTGGGGAGGGCGAGGGAGAGAGGGGTGCTGGAGGGGCAGAGGGTGTTTGTTACGCCCAACACCACGCCCGATGCTCACTCCCTTGCTGCTGTTGCAGCTGCAGCTGGTGCTGAGGTGAGCGATGACCGGTTCTTATCCCCATGCTTGTGTTCTGGTGAGCTCATAATATTTGGCTTCCGGTGCTGGTGCTGAGGTGACTCTTGATTTGCCACGGCCTCCGGTCTCTAGAGCTTGGCTGGTGCTCCAGTCTCTGCTCTCTCCTGTCTCTAGAGCTTGGCTGGTGCTCCAGTCTCTGCTCTCTCCTGTCTCTAGAGCTTGGCTGGTGCTCCAGTCTCTGCTCTCTCCTGCCTTCTCAGACGTGCTCGCCTCCTCGCCTGCTGCTCTCCCCTCTCCTCACATCTCCAGGTGATGCCATCTTTGTCTGCCAGCAGTGCTCCCACGGTGATCGTCTCATGTCAAGCTGACAAACCTATGTGGGAAGTCCAAGCGTTGAAAGGTTGGTGGCTTTGTTGATTCTGGTGGGTGATTCATATGCTGAATCATCAGATGTTGAGTAATCAGATGCCATATCATCTCAAGCTGCCTCTTCTATTCAAGTCAGCGTGCTCCGTGCGAACCCCAACCATCCACACAACATGCCCTTCTGCTGAATGCAACAGCATGCTCCCGTGCTCGAACATGCGTGTTCTTCGGCGCATTGAACCTATTCTCCCGCCTGTTCTTTCCACATTTCGTCATGTCACCCCTTCCCACACCCACCGTCAGGCGTGCCTGTATTTTTACCAGAGTTTCTTCTGACTGCAGCAATGCGCCAACAGCTAGACTGGGGCAGGTCAGTGTGTGGTCAGATTAGAACTGGAGTGGGGGCAGGTCAGCACTGATGGCTCCTCTGTCAGCATATTCACTCGCATGCATGTCTTAGCAACATATCCTTCCTCCTTTGAATTTTGATCAAAATGCTCGGAAGTGCGTGTGCCTTTGTTTGGAATAATTGGTCTTGCCCGCTTGTATGTTCTCCTTCCTATCCCTTTGTGAATGGGTTCACAGGAACCATCGTCTGTAACATCCTGCTCAACTAATAACGGAAGAGTCCGTACCGTATACTCTGTACTACATTGTAAAGTATGTTTATTCAATCACCTATTGTCAGAATACGAATAAAGAATGACATTGATGTCAAGCACCCCTTCGGTGGCGGGAATAAATTGCACTTCACTCAGTTTTCATAAAATGCACTCCACTCAATTTTATACATATTTTATTCACACTCATGATGCACTCCATTTTATACATATTTTTTACTCGAAAATACATAATTTATAACAATGAATCCTTTGAGGGTCTGTGAATCTCCTCGTCATGTGTACTAACGGGACAGTAGTTCCTACCTTCGATGGCGGTATTTTGACTCTTGACTTGACATCTAGCCGACAAAACACAGCCTCGCGGGCGCGCACCGCGTGGATAAGGAAATCTTGCCAAGTGTGGCAGCAGTGGACCAGTTTCGCTATCGTCGTCCTCTGAAACTTGTTTTGGTGCTCCTTGTGCAATTTCTCTCTAGTCATCAAAGCGCCGAGTTTTTCTGGTGGTGATGTGCTGGCATTCTTGACGGATAGAGCGCAGTTTTTTTAGGGCCATGGAGGGGAACTTACGATGGACTTCTGTGAAACAACCTGCAGTCCCATTCCTACATATCCGCAGTGGCATTGACTACCACGTCGTTCGTATGCAATGCGTGACAGTTAAGGACTGTGATGGACTGTAAAGGTCTTCCCTCTCACATGTGTCCTGCCCTGCTCTCGATCTGTGCGTAGCCTAGTAGCCAATCACACCAGCCCGTGGTGTGCGCGTTCGTGGCGTTTCGCACGCGCATTTCTGTTTTCACATTTTGTCATTCAGATTACAGTCGATCGATGGCTTTCGCCAGGTCTGAGTTCGTAGATCTGGTGACGGATGACAACTTCCAGCATCGCGTTCTGCGTGCTCCACAATTAATCGTGGTGGGCTTCTTGAGTACCGATTCCCAGTCCGAAGCGCTTGGTCAGAGTATTAACAGCATCGCGAGGGGACACCAAGATAGGAGCGAAGCTGTCAAATTCTATGTGGTGGACGCCTATGAGTATCCCGACTTGGGCCAGAAGTACGGTGCACATACTACACCTTCGATTATTTTCTTCAAGAATGGCACTGCTGTCCATACCTTTGCCGGGGTTGCACCCCCCGAGCATCTCATCCAAGTGTGGGTTGACGAGCACTTGTGAGCTCGCATAAGATGCTTCTTGTCGTTGGGTTTCTGACAAAAGCCTTCTGTGAGATGTATCTCTCAAGTATAGTGCGATTCCATTGAAGCTGTGATGTGATTGCACGTTTACCAGAAATACCCAATAGGATTGCCACGTGTACCCGATGGGAAGCATGGTCTGGAGAGATGCTCTAAATGCTTTCGCACGTGCAGAACGAAGAAAGATCTCGATGGCAGAAAGCGAAACAAGGGGAGCACGAAACACAAGCCAGTAGCTAAAGACCTTTGCCTGGGGACGGGGGGGAATAGGGCACAACTGAATTGCCTCTGCTTGCCCATCATTTGCATGCATGCAGTCAGACTGGATTCTCTGCACGTCCCCTTTCCCCTGAAACTTTTCTCCAAATACCGTATCTCAAGCGCATTTGCTTGTCTATACGTCAAGTTCTTTTGCTAGTTGCTTCTTTTTTATGCTTCCTATCGTTCTTGTGAATGCTTTTCCAGAAACCATTGTCTGTAAAAATCACCTTCTCAACAAATGGGGAGGAACCTGTATTATACTTATACTGTGGATTCTGCTTGTTTCTATAATTGCTTTCTAGGTATAAAATTGATAACTGGCATTTGTTTGTCGAATGCCCCTCTCGTTGTTAAAAATGGGAGGTACCTAATTGGTCTATGAACCTTGTCTGTTCGATCCTGTTTAATCCAACTTGTGCTTAGGACGCGGTGCAGATCGGGCAATCGATTGCCTCAGATTGTCCGATCGGGTCGGGTCGGATCGGATCGGGTGATATTGCCCCGATCTGAGGCAATCTGTCGATTGCATCCCGAGCCGCGTGATCAGATCACGAATTTCAAGGAAGTTAGTCAGAGTCGGCCACGCGGGTTCTAAGCTATTCAACCGTTCCTTCCCTACAAAGTTGGAGACACCTGGCGACAATTCTGTATCGCGCAATTACAATGTAGCCCCATTTTGTGTTCCCAATTCTTCCATCCCCATGACAAACGCGGTATCACGATGGTGCTGCGAGCAGTGACAAGTTTCGAAAGGGTAAGTTATCTTTCGCAGTTGTCGCCAGGCCCCGCGATCTGAGGCAATCTATCGATTGCAAGCGATCGCAAGCGATTGCGTCAGATCGGAGCGATCGATCGCAATCAATTGGATTTCCGATTGCAATCGACAGATTGCCCCCGATTGCATGCGATTGCCTCAAAGCAAGCGGCTTCTTCGAAATGGTGGATTGCCCCGATCTGACGCGATCGCACTAAGATCGGGCCGATCTGTACCGCGTCCTCAGTTAGTGGTGGGTCGTTAAAGCCCAAGACCTGAATTACAAAAAAAGGAAGGCAAACTGTGCACAGTTTGCCTACCGAACCCACGGTTGACCTCCCGAGCCAGGCTGGTTACCAGAAAACAAAGCGCCAAAAAACAGAGTGTCGTAGAGCAGAACGGGTTTGGTTGGCGAGAGTCCCAACCACACCCACCTGAAGGAACAAGGGCTCAAAATGTGCACAGTTTGCCTCCTTTGGTAATTCAGGTCGTGCGATTTCCATAGTACGCGAAGCGATTAGATCATGCGAAGAGATATAATAAAAAGCCACTAAAGCATAGGCCATGAGCATTTTCACATTTAATCCTAGCCCATCCCCAAACATCGCATTTGGACCTATCGCCTTTCGCGTCCCCCACGCTTCTCCCCACCGTCTCTCACACACCTTCCCACGCACACGCCCACGCTTCCCCTCACTGTCGCCCACGCTTTCCCCCATCGTCGCTCACGCTTCCCCTTACCTCCGCTCACGCTTCCTCCTGCCTTCCCCCACGCTTCCCCACACCGTCGCTCACGCCTTCCTCCACCTTCCCTCACGATTCCCCTCTCATCGCCCACGGTTCCTCCTACCGTCGCCCACGCTTCCTCCCACCGTCACCCACGCTTCCCCCCACCGTCACCCACGCTTCCTCCCACCGTCGCCCAAGCTTCCCCCCACCGTCGCCCAAGCTTCCCGCCACCGTCGCCCACGCTTCCCCCCACCGTCGCCCACGCTTCCCCCCACCGTCGCCCACGCTTCCCCCCACCGTCACCCACGCTTCCCCCCACCGTCGCCCACGCTTCCCCCCACCGTCGCCCACGCTTCCCCCCACCGTCGCCCACGCTTCCCCCCACCGTCGCCCACCGCCACCGTCGCCCACCCCCACTGTCGCCCACGCTTGCCCTCCCATCGCCCTCGGTTAGACTTCCCGCCGACCTCCCTTCTCTCCCACCTCTCTCCACGTCGTCATCACTCCCCTGCCCATCACGTTCCCCCTATTCACCATCGCGTCTCCACCCATGCCGCCCACCCTCTCATCCCTTCCCATCGCATTTAGGGTCGTCGTTGTATCCCTTCCAAATTGCCTCGTTAAGTCGCTTACGCTCTCCCCATTACCACCTTCTCTACTCCTACCATCGCCCATGGTTACCACCCCACCCTTGCACCCTTATTTCCTTCTCTCTCATTCTCCCTCCCCATCAGCCTCTCACCCACCCTGGGCGGGGAGGTATGGCGAGCTGGGCTGGGAGCTGGGGAAGGGGTCGTGACTCGTTCGCTGTGGGGTGTGGAAGGGTGCGTGGTCAGCAGCACCCACCCTTCTCTCTCTTGCACTGACCTCCTCTCCTCTCTCGCACCAACCCCACACGCATGGCAGGTGGTGGTGCGGCTTTGGAGCAGAGTGTTTGGCGCACAGCCAGGGCAGCGCGTGCAGGCGGGCAGCAAGGAGTGCAGTGCTGCAGGGGGCGGGTCAGGGGAGCGGGGGAGGCGGGGCAGGGGAGGCGGGGGTTAGGGAGAGAGGGTGCAGGGATCCTCCTATCCCCCGTTCCACCCTTATACCCTACCACACTTTTACCTCCTGCCCTCCTCCCTTACTCCGTTCCGTCGTTCCCCCACAGTCGTCCTCCTCTCCCTCTCCCTTCCTCCCTTCCTCCATCTCTCTGCCTCACTACCCTCTTTACCCTCTCTGTTGCCCGTCCTCCTTTCCTCCCTTCCTCCATCTCTCTGCCTCCCTACCCTCTTTACCCTCTCTGTTGCCCGTCCTCCCTTCCTCCCATCCTTCTTTCCTGCCATTCTTCCTCTCCTCATCCTCCCTCGATCCAGTCCCCCTTCCCCTTTCCATCTCCCACTCTCCCACCCCCTTCCTCACGCCAACCCTGCTCCTCCGTTCCACCCTTCTACCTTCCCCCTTGTACCGAGCCGCACTTTTTCCTCTCATCCGCCCATCATCTCATCCGCCCATCCTCTCATCCGCCCATCATCTCATCCGCCCATCATCTCATCCGCCCATCATCTCATCCGCCCATCCTCTCATCTGCCCATCATCTCATCCGCCCATCCTCTCACCGTCGCCCACGCTTCTGCCTTAGTGCCTTTCCGTGCTCTCTCTCCCCTACCCACGCTTCATCTCGCTCACCCTTCCGCCCTTCCTCCGTGTCTCCCTTGCTCATTTTCTGCCTCCGTGCATTCTTTGTTCCCCACCCTCCATCAGAGTTTGTGGTTCGTGTCTGTGCAGGTCTGCCATGCATCCAATTCTGATGAGTATAGGGTTTGATAATATTACTTGTCTACAATAGCTATGCCATGTACCGTTATTGAAGTTGGTTGGATGCGTCTCATAATACACCACATCGTGATTAGGAGCATTATGAAAAAGTGCAACAAAGCAAAATAATGTTCCATTTATGTTGCCAAGACAAGACTATAAGCACAAGCACAAAGCTAGGAGGTGGTAACTTTTTAACCCACTCCTGTTGGGGCCCATGGTGCTGGCACCTGTACACGCATGGTTCTGTATGGAACGGGGAGGGAAGAGGGGATATGGCAGAATAAGCGAGGGGTGAAGGTGGAGGGCATGTATGGGAGGAGTTAGGCAGAGGAGTGAGCGAAGCGGGGAACAGAGTGAGCAGAGCAGGGTGGATAAGGCGGTGAGCAAAGGGGATAGCCAGTAAGCATGGGGCTAAGGAGGGGAAATGAGAGGACTTGGGGGGGAAAAAGGGTTGAACAAAGGGGAATAGAGAGTAAACAGGGTGGAAAGATGGGTGAGTACAGAGGGAAAGAGAGTGACCAGAGGGGGAGAGAGTGAACAAGGGGTAAGGGAGTGAGCAGGGGATTTTAGGGGCGAGCACAGGGGGAAATAGACCAAGCAGGGGGGAAATGGGTGAGAAAGGGGGAAAGAGGGATGAGAACAGGGGGAAAGAAAGTGAGCAGGGGGGAAGAGAGTGAGCAGGGGGGAAGAGAGTGAGCAGGGAGGGAGAGAGTGAGTATAGGAGTGAGCCGGGAAAACAGGGGCGAGCAGAGGGGGTAAGAGAGCGTGAAGGGGGGAAATGGGGGAGGTGAAGGCGACGGGAGGGGGAAGTGAAGGCGATAGGGAGGGGGAAATGAAGGCGACGGGGAGGGGGAAATGAAGGCGACGGGAGGGGGAAGTGAAGGCGACGGGAGGGGGAAGTGAAGGCGACGGGAGGGGGAAGTGAAGGCGACGAGAGGGGGAAGTGAAGGCGACGGGAAGGGGAAGTGAAGGCGACGGGAGGGGGAAGTGAAGGCGACGGGAAGGGGAAGTGAAGGCGACGGGAGGGGGAAGTGAAGGCGACGGGAGGGGGAAGTGAAGGCGACGAAAGGGGGAAGTGAAGGCGACGGGAAGGGGAAGTGAAGGCGACGGGAGGGGGAAGTGAAGGCGACGGGAAGGGGAAGTGAAGGCGACGGGAGGGGGAAATGAAGGAGACGAGAGGGGGAAGTGAAGGCGACGGGAAGGGGAAGTGAAGGCGACGGGAGGGGGAAATGAAGGAGACGGGAGGGGAAGTGAAGGCGACGGGGAGGGGGAAATGAAGTAGACGGGAGGGGGAAGTGAAGGCGACGGGAGGGGGAAATGAAGGAGACGGGAGGGGAAGTGAAGGCGACGGGGAGGGGGAAATAAAGGCGACGGGAGGGGGAAGTGAAGGCGACGGGAGGGGGAAGTGAAGGCGACGGGAGGGGGAAGTGAAGGCGACGAGAGGGGGAAGTGAAGGCGACGGGAAGGGGAAGTGAAGGCGACGGGAGGGGGAAGTGAAGGCGACGGGAAGGGGAAGTGAAGGCGACGGGAGGGGGAAATGAAGGAGACGGGAGGGGAAGTGAAGGCGACGGGGAGGGGGAAATGAAGGCGACGGGAGGGGGAAGTGAAGGCGACGGGAGGGGGAAGTGAAGGCGAGAGGAGGGGGAAGTGAAGGCGACGGGAGGGGGAAGTGAAGGCGACGGGAGGGGGAAGTGAAGGCGACAAGAGGGGGAAGTGAAGGCGACGGGAAGGGGAAGTGAAGGCGACGGGAAGGGGAAGTGAAGGCGACGGGAAGGGGAAGTGAAGGCGACGGGAGGGGGAAATGAAGGAGATGGGAGGGGAAGTGAAGGCGACGGGGAGGGGGAAATGAAGGCGACGGGAGGGGGAAGTGAAGGCGAGGGGAGGGGGAAGTGAAGGCGACGGGAGGGGGAAGTGAAGGCGACGAGAGGGGGAAGTGAAGGCGACGGAAGGGGGGGGAAGGGGGGGGGGGAGTGAAGGCGACGAGGGGGGAAGTGAAGGCGACGGGCGGAGCGAAGGCGACGGGCAGGGGTCGCGAACGCGACGAGCTGCGGAAGCGATGGCGACGACGCGGGCGACAGAGAGCGGAAGCGTGGGACCTAGGGAAATGAAAGCGAGGGCAAGGGGAGGGTCACGCTTGGGCGAACGGGTGCGATTCGATTTCCGCCGCGAGTTTACGCTACGCAGTAGTTGCACAATAAAATGCATTTCGACACAAAAATCTTCACCCAGCGAGCACTAGCTTTGCGCGTCATCATCAAAATCCGTGCCACCCACATCGTAAGGCGCATCTGATCCCTTTTGAGTGAACGCCGACGCCCTGCCTGTGAGAATTAGAACGAGAGAATGAATGACTAAGGAATGAAAGAGATACAAATATGAAACCCTAGAATTGTGTACCCCTTAGTGTCGAACCCGCTACAGCCTACACAGGCCAAATCATATAAGTTTGACACACCCCCATAGGCAAAGTGGGGGAGAACAAGGGGTCACAAGACCAGTCAAGCAAAGCAAGGCAAAGCAAGCTCAGGGTGGATCACAACGTCACCACACATTCTGAGCACAAGTCAAGGCCACAAGGCCAGTTCACATGCATGATTACATATATATAACGCTAAACAAGCAAGAGCAGGTATACACATATATATGTAACAGTACAAGCAAGGTCAAGAAGTGAGCAAGTGAGGCAAGGTAGGCACAAGACCTTACAGAGTACAGAAGCGCTGATGATCACAAGGCGCGAGTGCCTTGGTGAAGATATCAGCAGTGTTGGCCTCAGAGGCCACGTAAGCAAGACGCAGCTGACCGCGCTGCTGCAGCTCACGAGCAAGAAAGTAGCGAAGAGCGATGTGCTTCGTTCTGTGCTCCAGTCTGTGCTCCCGACACAAGGCCAGCATGGCCTTGTTGTCTACGTACAGAACTGGAGGAGAACGAGGCGGCTCTCCCAGGTCAGTCAGCAAGTAGGTGAGCCAGCGTAGCTCCTGTGCAGCCATGGCCCCTGCGTAGATCTCAGCCTCACAACTGGAGTCGAGAACAGAAGACGAGCGAGTAGACCGCCACGAAACAGAGCCGGAACCAAGGCTGAAGGTGTAACCCTGTGACGACCGCTGCGTAGCCTGGTCGTCAGCCCAAGAAGCGTCTGCGTGACCAGTGAGGACCACTGGACTCCGCCCTCCAAGTACTAGCCCCATGCCCGACGTACTGCACAAGTAGCGCAACACCCTCTTCGCTGCAGCCATGTGCTCTGGTCTGTGTCTCCCAGGAGCAACATAGCGTGCCAGAATGCTAAGAGGGTATGCAAGGTCAGGTCGAGTGCAGGTCATCAGGTACATGAGGCAGCCAACAAGCTCTGGGTACGGGCCACTCGACTCTACGGACTCATTCGAAGGCAGAGCTGAGAGCGAGTGGCGAGTAGACAGAGGAGTGGCCTGAGGCGAGGAGTACGTGAAGCCGAAGCGCTGAAGGACCTGCTGCACCATGTGTGACTGAGTCAGGGTAATGGTGCGCTGTGCTCTGTCCCGGGTGATCTGCAAGCCAAGGTAGCTGCGCAGTTCACCTAGGTCTGTGCACGTGTGTCTCTTCTGCAGCTCGGACTTCACGTAGGCGAGTCCAGCAGTGTCAGCTGTGGCAAAGACCAAGTCGTCGACGTACACGAGGATGTAGAACGGCGGCAAAGAGGTGTCGGTGCGTAGAAACAGCGACGGGTCGGCAGTGGAAGGAGCAAACCCAAGAGCCGCAAGTGTAGTCCTCAGTGTGTCGTGCCACTCACGAGGTGCCTGGCAGAGACCGTAGACTGGCCGCCGGAGGCTCCACTGGGTGCCAGGAGGAAAAGTCCCAGTGAAGCCAGGTGGGCGGCGCAGCCAGATCTCCTCGTGCAGGCTGCCCTGCAAGAAAGCAGTGCTGAAGTCAAGAGAGTGAAGCTCGTAGTCACGGTGAGCGGCTATGTGCAGCAGTACCCGAAGAGTGGTCATCTTCGGGGTGGGAGAGAAGGTCTGAAAGTAGTCAACTCCCTGCCGCTGACTGAAGCCACGAGCCACGTAACGCGCCTTGAAGACAGGCGGAGAACCCGGCGGCCGCTTCACCCTGAAAATCCACATGCCACTGACGATGTTCGCCCCAGGCGGGGGAACCTCGTCAACGTAGGTGCCTGTGGACTTCCAAGAAGCCATCTCTGCGTCTATGGCTGCCTGCCACTGAGAGGAGTAAGGACCCTCTATCGCCTCCGCGTAAGAGCGCGGAGTCGGGATGTCTGGTGCATCCGGGTCTCCCTCAGGGGCAAGTAGCATGGACACGAGATGAGGTGAAGCAGCCACAAGACACTGGAGGTCCTCCTGTCTGTCCTCAAGGACGTCCGTGCCAAGAGCACACTCACCCCCGACGGACGGAGGACAGACAGACGCAGACTCAGTAACCAGACTAGCAGCGTAGTCTAGACGACAGCGAGCAGCGAAGTCGACAAGCTCAGCAACTAGGGCAGACGCCGCAGTAGACTCAAAGGAAGGGTCAGTGACGACAGTAGCAAGGAGACGCGTGACAGTAGGACTGGCAGCACGAAGGGAGTCTGACTCCGGGTCAGCAAGAGCAGGAAGAGAGGACTCAGGCGGGGAAGGCAACGGGGCACGCAGAGGAGCAGTGGACGGACGCAGAGACATCCGGTGCGTGCCGGGGACGGGGGGAGGACGCTGACGCAAACCACGACCACCAGTGCGAGCAGCACGGACAGGCGACGCAGGACGAGACGCAGGCTCACGACGCTCAACAAGACCTCCAGTAGGACCAGTGTAGGGAGAAGGAGCAGTTAGAGGAGAGGGAGGCTGTAACTGTGACTCAGACCGGACAGGCGATGGACACTCTAAGGGAGGAGCCGGACTAGTGGAGGGCGGAAGACCAAGAACCTGCTCAAGGAGCGGAACGAAGTACGGCCGCGGCCGTGCAGCACCCCCAGAACCAGCAGGAACAGCGCCAGCACCACGAACGGCAGCACCAACACCAG